CCCCCCCCCCGATACTAGAACATATCTAGAGGTCAGTTTTACCTGTACAAATGACCCATAATATTTGGTGACGTAGGGGGATAAGTCAAACTATTCCAGGATACTAAAACATATCCAGTGGTCAGTTTTTACCTGTACAAATGACCCATAGTATTTGTTGACGTAGGGGGATAAGTCAAACTATTCCAGGATACTAAAACATATCTAGAGGTCAGTTTTTACCCGTACATATGACCCATATAGTATTTGTGACGTAGGGGGAGTCACATTGCCCCCGGGATACTAAAACATATCCAGAGGTCAGTTTTTACCTGTACGAATGACCCATAGTATTTGGTGACGTAGGGGGATAAGTCACACTATTCCAGGATACTAAAACATATCTAGAGGTCAGTTTTTACCTGTACGAATGTCCCATAATATTTGGTGACGTAGGGGAGTAACACTGCCCCCGGGATACTAGAACATACTTAGAGGTCAATTTTTACCTGTACAAATGACCCATAATATTTAGTGACGTAGGGGGGTAACACTGCCCCCGGGATACTAGAACATACTTAGAGGTAAGTTTTTACCTTACAAATGACGCATAATATTTGGTGACGTAGGGGGAGTCACACTGCCCCCCCCCCCGATACTAGAACATATCTAGAGGTCAGTTTTACCTGTACAAATGACCCATAATATTTGGTGACGTAGGGGGATAAGTCAAACTATTCCAGGATACTAAAACATATCAAGAGGTCAGTTTTTACCTGTACAAATGACCCATAGTATTTGTTGACGTAGGGGGATAAGTCAAACTATTCCAGGATACTAAAACATATCTAGAGGTCAGTTTTTACCCGTACATATGACCCATATAGTATTTGGTGACGTAGGGGGAGTCACATTGTCCCCGGGATACTAAAACATATCCAGAGGTCAGTTTTTACCTGTACGAATGACCCATAGTATTTGGTGACGTAGGGGGATAAGTCGCACTATTCCAGGATACTAAAACATATCTAGAGGTCAGTTTTTACCTGTACGAATGTCCCATAATATTTGGTGACGTAGGGGAGTAACACTGCCCCCAGGATACTAGAACATACTTAGAGGTCAATTTTTACCTGTACAAATGACCCATAATATTTAGTGACGTAGGGGGGTAACACTGCCCCCGGGATACTAGAACATACTTAGAGGTCAGTTTTTACCTTACAAATGACCCATAATATTTGGTGACGTAGGGGGAGTCACACTGCCCCCCCCCCCCCCCCGGATACTAGAACATATCTAGAGGTCAGTTTTACCTGTACAAATGACCCATAATATTTGGTGACGTAGGGGGAGTCACACTGCCCCAGAATCCTCATCTCCTGCTGGATGTCGTCGATTTCGTCCTCCGCCTCCTCTAAGTCGATGATTTTTATTGCTACAATCTCCTGGGTGTCCAGATCCAAGCCTTTATAGACGCGCCCAAAAGATCCCTTCCCGATCTGGTCATCCATCTTCTGGAACCGCCGCTTAAGTTCCGAGTCGCCATTGCCGATCTGTAAAAATTAAACAAAGGTATTTACTTATACACATGTATATACTTATACCTCCCCGTGGAACAGGTGCGTGTGTGTCTAAGTTTCCACGGTTGAAATCTCGACAACTACTGATATCATGAAAAGGCAGTTCTCTAAGAACCAGGTATGGGAATGTATCCCCAATAATTTTGCCAATATGAAAAGTACAATAGAAAAATTTCAAATTTACGACCGTGTCCTCTCAGAAATATCTTTTTTTAAAGATTTGTTTGTCAAGAAATTTCTGTTTAGTAGTGACCCCCCCCCCCCCCCTTACTCCCACACCAAAACTGCTTTCGCTTCCAAGGGACCTGGAAGAATATCAATGCATGCGGACGAATTTTCAGTCAATTATAAAAATGAAATAAATCGAGAAAATACGTGTTTATTACAAGTAACAATTCTGTTTTTGTTTGTTTGTTTGTTTTTACTGATTTTATCTATTTACAAGAACGCAGAAAGGAGTGGGGGGAAGGGGGGTCGGACCTCAGGCAAAATTACAAGTTGATTATCAATTAAAATTTTAAATCACAAAAAAAAAATTACAAAGTAAATGCTGTCTATTTGTAATTTCACACAAGGACATAAGACGCAGTCTATCACTGGATCCGCCACCGTATTTCACTCGCTCCGAAGATGTCTATCGTTGGATCCGCCCCCGGAATTCAAATAACAAAAGTGTTACAGTTCATTACGTAGAGAGGAAATCCTTTTTGTGGAAAGTAAAGTACAACTGCGGATATTTTATAAAGAGTGAATTACACACTCCGTGACTAACAACAAGACCGGATTTTCTGTAATTTGTCTTTCGTCTAAAAATTAAAACTACTGACGTTGGAAATCTATAATTAAACGAAGCCAATCCTTCTGTCATTTCCATATTTCTAAGCGTCTCATTACTACCACACTGCCGTAAACAGGGTATTCCCGTGAAATAGATACACAGTGATACCTGAGGCAGCTTGTGAGTACAGTCCTACAGAATTATCAAATTAAACAATCATATCCAGGTAATTAATACTTAATTAGTTGTCATTTAGTCTCTCATAGCTTATGATCGATATGATGAGTATTTGAGTTATGTGTTGTGTTGTGTTGTGTTGTGTTGGAGGGGGGGGGGTCTAATTCATCCTCCTCTTCTGTTTTTATATTTTGTTTTAATGAAAAAAAAATATAGTTTATTCTTTCCTCTTCTTTTGTGAGCAACAAATACTTTATTGCCCTAGCAGATTTAATTACCACAGCAAAATAAATGAAAATATATATGAAATACATGAACTACAAGCTAGACTTATTGAAAAAATCTTACTTTGACCATATATTGACCATAATAAATCTATAGTAATACCTAATCAACTGCAATCTTAAGATGAAAGGACGCTCTCTCTCTCTCTTGCACCAGTGTACTAAATTACCCTTCATTGGAAAACTTTCGTTTTATAGCAATCTCATACATATTAAATGGAACGTCACTCGATCCTATTTATGTATTTGCGTCAGCTAGGATTCGTAAATATTCTTTACAACATCACATTACAAGAAATTGTCCATTCAGAGAACGGCATAATACATGTGTATTGATATCTCTTGAGTGCAAAACCTGTTGGATCCACCTAGACTTCGCTATCAGTGTCTGTATGTACGTAAACAAGTATTTACCTACACAGGTAATATAAATCTATATTCAGACTGAGCTAGGCTACGGGAGAAAATTATTATTACCTACCTTTGACATCGTTTCTAAGCATAAATCTTCGTGACGTAAGCTGGTCCAAATTCTCCTTGACCCCAGAGACTGACCCTAGGTCCTTGTCAGGTCCCAGGAAGGAAATTTATGCCGTCCGGAACAATCTGACAGCGTTGAATAATTGCCAACTTGCTCTGTATGTATCGATCCGGTCAATTAAGGGCGACGTACCCGCCACCTAGAGGACTTCCTTGTTGGTCAGGAATTCCCGGGAGAGAAGGCTACCCCAGAAAACGGTTCACGGCTCGTCGTAAATGGGATATAAATACTTCAAGCCGCACAACGTCTTAAAGTGACAATCACTACACAAAAAGAAAACATGATGACTCATGCATGCTATGAATTTTAAAATTTCTGTGTTGAATCGTGATATGCAGTTCTGCGAAAGTTCAAGCACTCTTTGGGTAACCCCGTCACAGTTAGCGATCAATGGACGGGACCAACCTCGCAAAAGAGGGGGTGGGGTGGGGGAAGGGCTCCACACGAACTAGTTGTTTATAAAAAAAAAAATAATAATAATAAAACTCTTTATGTTCTCAGAATTTAAGACATATTGAACCCCCACCCCGCCTGTGTGCTACCGAAACACCATGCATCTGTATACATGTAGATTAAAATCTTAATAACATTTGCACTTTCTACTATGGAGAAGTCTTATTCGGTAAATCTCCCGTTGTCCATTTTTCAGTGTACTATCTGTCGTAAAGATTTACCTGAACAAGTGTTCAGAAGAGTCTCAACATGGATCGATTATATAGAGCAAAATTCGTCAGAAAACGCCCAAAATTTAAACCTCACGGCACTTTATCTATTGGAGACACTCCAAATCGACTTAGAAATTCAAACATTCAAGTTCCAGTTTTATTGATATAAGGAAAATGGTTTGAATGTTCTTAAAAATACATCCGTGTTCAACACTGACCTCTTGCAACAACACTATAGATTTTTTTTATGTGAAAAATGATGCGTAACATTTCTTTTAAAAAAATCTTTTGAGTTAATTAAACTAGCTAGGATAACTTTGAGAAATATGACCAGGCTTTACTCTCTATATTTGCACCCACCGTTATATTCTTTCTATATGAGAGAGAGAGGATGTTTTTACAATAAACAATATTGTACGCAGATATAGACAGGGTCATCAGGAGGATCCATCCCCCCCCCCCCGTGATTTTCAGTTATCAAATCTAAAGGTAAAAAATACCACTCGTCCCCCCAAAACACAGACCTGGAAGAGACAAGTGTATAAAGGTTAGACGGCTTTGCCCAATAATAACTGCCCAACCCCCTCCCCCAAGAAATAGGTTTTTCGCGTTCGTTCAAGTTTGCGGATCGAGTTTCTTTTCCTTCTCAAAAAAAAATCTGAGTCAGTTGAGTGGATATGAAGCCCTCCCAGGAATGAAATTCTGGATCCATGTCATAAGATGTTATTCATGCATTTGCTTACAGCGAACCAGGTAATATCAAATATACTTAATGCACTCAAGCAAATTTAGAATTTTTTTTTCAAATCTAAAATTGTGCATGACAACTGCGAACACTAGCATATTCTACCTGACAAAGTTCTTAATGTAAAAACCAATTTATAAGATAACCACATTCGTTTGTTGTCTACCGTGGCCATCCTCTCGACTGATGACGTCAATGAAAAAGAAGTCAATCAACTAGAAGCGATAGTAACTAAAAATAACAACAGCTAACATTATTCTGGAATTTATTTGTGTATAATCATTAGTACATGAAAATTAGAAAGCACGTATTCTTATGAACAGACGAGTATATGTTTATAGAGTCTCTCTTTTCATGTGTACATTGAACTTGTATAACTTTTTTTTCCACACATTTCTAGTTAAGTTTATAAACATCACAAATGTTCTCTATAATTTCCCCATTTTTGTCTTCATTTTTCTTAACTTACAACTAATTCACAAAAGAACCCAGTGTAACAATGTTGTTAATATGTCTCTCACGAGTTGTCGTTCTTTCAAGAGTAAAGAACGACAACTCTATAAAGTGTAACATCAGCAACAGAGAGAATCAAGGCATTTTACACAAATTCCGTCAGATATGGTTAACGTCAACAAAATATAAACTGGTAAGACATTAATTTTGATTTTCAAAGCTTTGAGAGAAAAAAAATATCAATCCTACCAATATTTAACATCCAACATAAAACTAAGGGGTTTCACAAGGAATATCTTAAATTATTCTCCGGGCTATCAACATCACAAGAATTATAAACAACGTTGCCTTTTTTCCCATTTTAGTTACTTCACTCATTCCTATAAATAACAATATAGTAACATCAATGATCTCATATATATCTACATTTCAAAGTTTGGAATGTTATTTTTTTATCAATTCGAAAAAAAATCTTTAAAAAAAAAAGACTTTGTAAGAGGTATAAAATAAGAGTAAACTATTGAAATCTATTGGGGATTTTTCTGTAAGTTCTAATCTCAGTTTGAAAAAAATACACAAGAAACTCTTGACTTCCTGAAAAGTCAATTCTGGGAAAAATTCAAAATGGATGTTCTATTGATAACACCATCCCTCTGAGAAATCAACAAAGGGTGTGAAAAAGTGTTAAAACTAATCTATTTACATGTGTTATAGATTATAAATATATATATATATACTTTGTCATCTTCTGCTACATGATTTTAATACACGTCACTCTAGATATACATCAAACCTATACTGAAATACAACCATTCAATCGCTGCCAATCATTCAAGCCAACAATAACAGAAACAAATTAACTAATACAGTAAGACTGTAATGGAAAAAAAGGAAACACAGATTGAGTAAGGTAGCATCACCATTGTTTCAAGAGATGTAGGAAGATACAAGAAAATGTAAACTATATAACTGAAATCTTAGTCAGCATCCACTGCAGCTCTGCATTTAACATGGCCGATAGTGAGGGGTTATTGTTTCTGTTTACAAATGACTGTCCAGCAGTTATACATCACTGTAAACCATTTATCCGAATAGCACAACTAGAGGCTTACACAACTAGAGGCTTACACATGATGGATTTTTTGTAAAACACCCCTCCTCAGATAGAACATTGTATCACACTGAAAAATATGGAGTCATATTCTCAGAGATTTTTTTAACTAACAGCATAAATTTTCAAAGAAATAAATTATGTTTGGCGAAATAACATGAAATATAATTTTGATTTCTTAAAACTTTTCTGCTAAATAAAAAAAATGTAAAAGTTTGTGTGGCAGATACAAGTTATGGTTCACAGCCTAGATTATTTGTTATACACTAATCAAAATAGATAAGGACAATGTAGTACGTATATTGCTATTACCAACCCCACTTACACAAAAGTACCGATAAAATATAGGGTAATTAAAATGATATTATACAGAATACAAGTGAAATCAGGGACTACATAAAAAAAAGTCTCACAGTGGTCACTGAAGCACCATCCATTATCAAAATCCAGAGAGAGAGAAAAAAATCAACTTATTGGTACTAAATATTCTTCAAGAAGAGACTTCCAGGATAGATAACTCATGACAGAAAGAGGCTGCCAAGAGAGATAACTTATGACAGCAGGAAAGATAACTAACAGGAAGGGAGGTAACCTATGACAGGAAACTTATCTACTCTGAGTGGCATTTGTTTTGCAGCCTTCATAAAACATATATTTGTTGCTTTTCTTTTCAAACACTTGAATGGACTTCTGAACTTTTTGGCTTACAAACATTTGTGACAATTTGAAGTCTTTTAAAAAAAAAATTCATCCATGATTTAGACACTGCAATTCATTCTTGACAAAAACAAACTCACCCTCTCATGTAACAATTCCCAGTCACACGTTCACATGAAATACATTAATATAATATGTACCTTCAATAACATGAAAATAAACGAACTGTCATAAAATAACAATAACTTCAGCTTGACATCTCTCACAAGTCTCTTGTTAAAATTATATACTCACAACACGTTCACACTATCATTAGATATGGTCATAACTCTCCACAAAGAAAAACAAAATATTGATAATGATTTTTTTGTTTGCTTGACAATATGTCAGAAGGAACGCTGACATATAATAAAGTATTGTGGATAAACCTGACAGAGGCCTAATGCAGACAAATTACAGAGTATCAGAATCTACTGGTTATATCTGTACATTCCACTAATCACTTACTGGGGATCATGAGTTATCCACATGTAACATGACTGAGGATCTATACACCTTAATAATTGGACTTTGTAACATCACTTCATCATGAAAATGTCTTTAGCATGTTAAAATTGTAGATTTTATTTTGAACTGATCAGATGAACAGAGTAGTCTTAAAACACTTTAATTCATGTTTCAAAAGTCTCGCCATACCCAGCAAATTTATTTCTTAATTGTAGTCGAACTGGTCTTACATTTATAAAGGAAATCGCACTCTGCTCAGAACCTAGTACTATCATAAAGACCTAGGTATATCTCAGAGTGCAAAAAGCAAATATACACAAAAAAAATATGGTTTCAACAAAATAGCACCAAACAACTTTCATAAAATTAGTGTAAGGAGTAGTTACTCATTTCATGACTTGAGGACTGATATGAGAATGACGACTAATGACGACAAATCGGCAGTTGATTTGATCAACTTGTCAACATTAGGCCTCTGATCAAATAAAGAAAGCAGTCAGTCTAAAATAAGAAATAAATACTTAAAGACAGTCCCTGAAAAAAGTGAAACTTTGGTTACAGTTTTAACTGAGGCAGAACCATTGATGACATGACAAATCTCTCCTGTCCATAACAGCTTCATTTAAACTCCTCATGAAGAAATTCTAGCGTGGTGACCCAGACCAGTTTCTGGTCACCATGGTAACAGGAAGCCACAATCCACCCAGCTTTAGAGCATTCCTCCATCTGGACAGAAAAATTTCTGATCCTCTTGATCTAGAGATCAAGTCCTGATCCATTCACACAGCCGAGGTATACACACTGTAACACAGCAATATCTGGAAACAGAGTTCTAACCATTTTTTTGTTTTAATGCTGCCCTCAAGGGATATAGCCATCATCACACACCTGACAACGTCACAGGGGAAGAGTATACATCTTGTATAGGAATTCATAGCAGCTGCTAACGCAGTCCATAAAGATATAATATATATATGTATATAAATCACACAGAAGGAATGTGTCCTCACTGAGGAGCCCTAAGTCCTCAGTTTTCCTCACTTCTCTGTCCTCCTTACTTCTCTAGCACTTAACACTGGTCCTCCAAATCCCACTGCTAGGAAGGTCTGAAAAAACAGACAGCAAGGAGTGATTATAAGGAATCTACTAACATTTAACTTACTGTAAATCACTTTTTATTCAGGAGAACTTCATTTTCCCATAATTATTCAACACTCATGAATAGATTTCATCCTCACATATATTAAAGATGATACAGAGCAAGCAATAACTGGAATAAGTGAAAATTTTGTTACTTTTAAATCCCAAATAATGATCTTGCGAAAATAAGCTGTCACAAAAATTATGTGATCTACAGCAGTTAAGCCCACAGATTAACAGTAAAACATAACCTACAATAAACCAGAAATCCAGAATCTGTCAAAATCAATAGATTTTCATTATAATTTATTTGAATAAGTCACACCATGATACCTCTATACTCTATTGCTAGTCTGATCTCTACTCACTTGACATCACAGTGTGTGTGTAACAGTAACTAACACGGAGACATAACACGATACCTTTTTACCCTGTCTATCGCTCGTCTGATCTCTACTCACTTGACATCACAGTGTGTGTGTAACAGTAACTATCACGGAGACATGACACGATACTTTTTGACTCTGTCTATCACTCGTCTGATCTCTACTCACTTGACATCACAGTGTGTAACAGTAACTAACACGGAGACATAACACGATACCTTTTGACTCTGTCTATCGCTCGTCTGATCTCCGTCTCTGGTACTGCTGCTGTGTTTGACAAACGACTAATGACCCCAGTTAAAAAGTCATCTGTGATTCCAGCACATGATCGTTCAGCAAGCTCGAAAGCATTCCTCAGCTCATCTACAGCTTCTGTCCTCTGGACAGGGTGTCCTCGACGTCGATAGTCTTCTCGATATTCCTCCTTCAACTATTAACAAAACAACGGAAAGTTATAACCAGTATACTATATACTATTCAAACATACATTTACTGAACTTCTCTACTGCCTAATTCATTGTTCCAACATTCGCTGATATATACCAATTTATCATATTATATATTGATGTCTTAAACACAAACTATTTTTTCTTTTCAGATAGACCAGTTCTATTATGAAGACATGTGAGGTAGAAAGGCCTCAAATACATGTATCTAGTTTTTATTCTGTAACAAGGCAGGTCTGTCTTAAATGTGCTTTTTTAACTGTGCTGTGAGACAAATCAGTCAACAAATGTATCAATTACTGTCCTGTAAGACTGGTGTACAAATGTATCAATTACTGTCCTGTAAGACTGGTGTACAAATGTATCAATTACTGTCCTGTAAGACTGGTGTACAAATGTATCAATTACTGTCCTGTAAGACTGGTGTATAAATGTATCAATTACTGTCCTGTAAGACTGGTGTACAAATGTATCAATTACTGTCCTGTAAGACTGGTGTACAAATGTATCAATTACTGTCCTGTAAGAATGGTGTACAAATGTATCAACTACTGTCCTGTAAGAATGGTGTATAAATGTATCAATTACTGTCCTGTAAGAATGGTGTACAAATGCATCAATTACTGTCCTGTAAGAATGGTGTACAAATGTATCAATTACTGTCCTGTAAGAATGGTGTACAAATGTATCATTTACTGTCCTGTAAGAATGGTGTATAAATGTATCAATTACTGTCCTGTAAGACTGGTGTATAAATGTATCAATTACTGTCCTGTAAGAATGGTGTACAAATGTATCAACTACTGTCCTGTAAGAATGGTGTATAAATGTATCAATTACTGTCCTGTAAGACTGGTGTATAAATGTATCAATTACTGTCCTGTAAGACTGGTGTATAAATGTATCAAAATCTGTATTGTGAGACAAACAAGTCAATAATAAGTTTCTGTCATAATTATCTACTGTGGAATCGTCATTGTTCATGGGGGTCAATGTTCTTGGGTAACCAAAATTCGACTGGTTCATGGGAATGTAATTTCATGCGTATATTGTATGTTTTATCACAGGAGTTCGCGTACCTATCAGTTTTACTGAAATTTTCAGTAAATATAAAAAATATGTACCTATTTAATAGGTATTACGTAATTTTTTTAATATACTAAATAATTCGGTAAAATTGATAGGTATGGGAACTCCTGTGGTTTTATTAAGATATATAACTCTACTGTGCTCAATGCATTTGTGTTTCAATGTAAGTGGGGATATAAATTCATGGGTAAGGATTTCCCATGAAAATCCACGAACAGTGATCCCCCACGAACAATGATGATTCCACAGAATTTCTTTTCTCTAGCCAGAATTATTTATTGCCTGCAAGGTATATCTCTCTAGAGAATGTTTTACATATTGCCCTGTGATACAGATCTGTTTATATAGTGTATTATGTAATGCCCTGTGAGACCAGTGTAGTATATGTTGCCCTGTGAGACCTGTGTAGTATATATTACCCTGTGAGACCTGTGTAGTATACATTGCCCTGACCAGTGTAGTATATATTGCCCTGTGAGACCTGTGTAGTATATATTACCCTGTGAGACCTGTGTAGTATATATTGCCCTGTGAGACCAGTGTAGTATATATTGCCCTGTGAGACCAGTGTAGTATATATTGCCCAATGAGATAGGTCTGTTTATATGTTGTAAAGTTGCCTAGTGAGACTGGTCTGTTTATATGGTCTATTACTGCCCTGAGAGACAGATCTGTTTATATGGTCTATTATTGCCCAGTGAGACTGGTCTGTTTATATGGTCTATTATTGCCCTGTAAGACAGGTGTAAAGTTGCCCTATGAGATCTGTTTATAATATGTATTATTGCCCTGTAAGACAGGTGTAAAGTTGCCCCATGAGATCTGTTTATAATATATATTATTATACCTCTATTAAGAATACTCAAATTTGATTGGCTTGTTAGAAGGCTTTTAAACTCAATAATGACTCCAAAAAGTACCTTTTACAGCAATAATGACCTAGGAATCATTGCACGTGGGGTATAATGACCGGTCAATAAAATTAATGACCGCTTAAAATGACCTGTTACTCCAAATTCCATTCAAATTAAAAAAAAATATGCATACAGTAATGATTTTACATTACAAAAATTGCCGTTATAAAAATATGTATAGTATTTTTAGGATACGGAACACGATTGGCCTTTAGATGCGTCATAACATTTATCGTTTTCATTGAAATTAACTTTCGTTACAATACAATGTCAAATTCAACGAACGCAGACTCGGCTCTCTTGTACACTTAAAGTCTACACCAGATTGTCATTGTAGTCGGGAATGGTATCTGTGAATTTATAAAAATGCAATGTTACTGACAATCACAGAGTGTTTTAATAAATCGGCGGTGCAAAAACTTACAAGACTAGCAGCCGAAAAGTGAACAACTTAACTAGCGAATCCCGATCCCGATGGAACACTGATAACAGTTCATAGGTCTTATACATGTAATTGATTATTTTAGTAATTAAGCTTACAAAAATTGCCTTAACTTATATCGGTATAATAAAACAATTGATTACCCCTTATGAGTTCAATATGGTAAAATAAGGACCCTCGACCTGGCCCACTCGCTGACCTGACCTGACCTCGGCCGCTACGCGGCCTCGATCAGGTCAGGTCACCTCGTGGGCCAGGTCTCGGGTCCTTATTTTACCATGTTGACCGCATAAGGGGTAATTAATTGTATATTATTGCCCTGTAAGACAGGTCTCATAAGATGTACAGTTGAACTTCGATATCTCAAACACTGATATCTCAAATACCATGGATATGTTGAAGTGATTTGGAAGTCCAAACCGCTTATTCCTTAAGTATTTTACCTTGGATATTTCAAATCCTCAGATATCTCGAAGTATTTTCTTGGTCCCACTGAGTTCGAGATAATGAGGTTTGACTGTATTATTGCCCTGTAAGACAGGTATGTTTATTGGGTGTATTATTGCCCCGTGAGACAGATCTGTTTAGGTGATGTATAATTGCACTGCGAGACAGATCTGTTAATGTGGTGTACTATTGCCCCGTGAGACAGATCTGTTTATTTGGTGTACTATTGCCCTGTGAGACAGATCTGTTTATTTGGTGTACTATTGCCCTGTGAGACAGATCTGTTTACGTGGTGTATAATTGCCCTGATAGACAGATCTTCTTTAGTGTTTATTGCCCTGTGGGAAAGGTCTGTTCATATATGGTCTATTATTGTCCCACAAGACAGATCTGTTTAAGTGGTGTGTTATTGCCCTGTGAGGCAGATCTGTTTATGTGGTCTATTATTGCCCTGTGAAACAGATCTGTCTCTACGTGGTGTATTATTGCCCATGAGACAGGTCTGTTAAAATATTAGTCTATTATTGCCCAGTGAGACAGATCTGTTTATGTAGAGTATTATTGACCTGTTAAACAGATCTTGCTTATATGGTGTAATACTTGTAATTACTGATGCAGGCCTGTTTTATGGTGTATTAATTATTGAATCATACCTGTAGTAATAGAGGTCCCACCGTGGAGGTTAGGGAGGGGGACTGTCGTGGAATGTCGTATTGTGACACAGGTCTCTGTGGGGGCTGGGGCGCAGGCTGGCGCTGCTGAAATATAAAATATATATCATACACAAACTCATAAATAATATAAAACACATCACTTCAATCATATGCAAACTCTAATAAATATCCATGTAAAACAGAAATATGTTTTATTTTAAATGACAGAGAATGATATTAAATAAATAATACATGCATACACTTAATTAATTATTGTGTTTTATATACACACAGTCCTTTATTATGCTACAGAAATTGTCCAATACAGGTCAATTACATTGGTTTGTACTGAGAAGTATTTCAGGGATATCATTTTTCTTGTGCACTGGAGAACAGATCTTTTATCCATAGATATAAAAATCTTATATGCGTATACTTTCAAAATACCCAGCCAAGCATTCAATAGTTCGGAATCAAATTAATGCAGTCGTGTACAATCCAACATAACTATGTGTAATACTATATAGAATATATAAATAGGATTAAAATATTCATTGCATGCAACCAAAATGTACTGAAAGACTAAAGATGTAAACTACTACAATATCTTAATCTTGAAAGTTAGAGGAATTATACGAATGAAACAAATAAACAACTCAGTGTAAATATATATACATGTATAATTATATATATATATCATGTATATATATGTTATACAAAATATAGAAAAGGCCAAATTATAAAAACTGTTGTTCAACCTTCACATGAAAAAGATATATATACAAGTCAGGAAATTTATGTAATATTCTAAGGATTCAGTTTATATTGCATGTTCTTTCCCATTCTTACACGTTCTTTATTGTCGAGCCCTCTGGGGCCAACATTAGCTGTGACCCTTTTTACCTTTTCAAAATATCAGACCAACTATAAACTCTAATACACCATTACAGAAGTTCTTATATACTGCTACATGATAAAAATAGCCATATACCAATGAACAATGTTAGTAAAAACATTTAAACTAAATTCGTTAGTGTACATAAACAGTAACATAAAAATAACAATATCCCATTCCATATGATAAACTGAACCAATCGCCATAACGTAGTGGACACTGGGCATTATGGGTATTAAAAAACTGTACATAAACAGGTCATGCAAACATGCATGTTAGTGTAAGGTTCTGCACCATTCCCATCAAAGGGAAAGAAAATGGAAACGGAATATTGAAGAATTGTTGTATTTATCGGAGTATTAAATATTGTAAAGCCTTGATGAAATACCATATTGATAAACTTTATTCGTGTGAAAGAAATATCCTGAGTTTCAAGGCCCTCACTTACTCACAAATATTTCTATCCACAAATTATTTATTCAGTTGTGTATTTATGTAGAATGTTTCTTTTGTCACCAAAAATTGATATCTGAGGATGGATTTCAAACTGACAATATAATCTCCAGTTGGTATACAATAGTCACATTTAATAACACAACTAGAATATAATCAGAAGAAATGCTCTCTCTTATATATATATATACAATATATATGAACTGATTCGTTGATGGGAATGGTGCAATGTGGTAAAATATCAATATAATTAATAGAATCCACTGTCTCGGTGTCGTGGTGACTCACGTAATTCCTGTAGGGTGCGGCCTCCAGGATGTGATGGGGTGGCCCCACATAGGCTGGGGCGTGGCTAGAGTTTGGCATATCATACTGGGATTTAGGGCGTGATAATGGAGGCTGTTATACAGAGGTAGAGAAGAAATCAGTGATCAGAAAAACACGCTACAAATTATCTACAGTCAAACACAGATACAACAAGTTCTGATATAGCACGATACCTGACTATCACAGATATTATTAATGTATCAGCTATGGAGAAATTTTTCACAGAATTCATAAGGAAGAAGTACATAAAGAAGTGGTCCCCTAAAATTTTGAATGAAATAAAAAAGTCATAATAAAGTCTGGCTATATCTGTATTTTACTGTATATATATACACACTTCTACTGTGAATGGATATGACAGTCTTACTGATCGTGCTTTAGACATTTAGATACATTGTATTTTTTTTTCAAGTTATAGAAAGGAATATAAATTTAATTTTACATTATATAAAGAATATCATTCCAAATTATCATTTTTCAAATAATAGTTAGATATGTATTAGTTTTTTTTTCCCCTTAAATTTTCTAATGGCTATTATATTCTTAGCTTAGCCCCAACCTAAACTATGTTTGAATAAATTCCAAAATGAAACAAAATTAAAAATTCTTTTGTAATATTTTTATACATGTACAACAATTTTAGCCATCACCCCACCCCCAGAAAGCTTTTTCTATAGAAGTCTTTTTTCAATGAAATTGATGATCTACTTCCAGATCCCACTTGCTAAAAATTCTAGCAGGCCCATCCCTTTAAGGTAATTTTGTGAATGATCTAAGGGAGATAACTCTGTGACTTACTCTATTATTAATGACGGAAAGATGATGAGGCTGTCCAAACAAGCTAATATTGGATTTATAAGGAGAGACAACAACAGGGGCGGTCATGTCAGATTTACTACGAAGGTGAACAGGGGAACCCTGAAAAGTTAAAAATCACTCAGGATTAAATACATGCTGCACACAAAGCTACAGGTTTCACACAGTTAAATACAGCACACAAGTAGAGTTTTATTTAAGGGAGCTGGGTGGTCAAAGCCATTTTTTAGACTTTTTAAACCTCCTAGAAAAGAGAACTCTGTATAAAAATATAGGAAATTGCATTAAATATTAAAAATAGAACATAAGCTTTTTTTTTCTATAATAGATTGTGGTTAGGAAAATCATATTTCCTATTACTATGTGGATGTTAGATGATTTGTTGAGCACCCAACAACCTTAATAACACACACTAAGTCAAGTCTTATTCATCAGAAAGTGGTAATACTTTTCAATGATTATTGTTTACTCAGAAAGCTCTGCACTCATTTTCATACTTGTCCTGTTTCTTCTATATTCTGAATGAATTTTGGTCTCATTTTAATTCAACAAAGTACAATTAACTTAAAAGTTGCTATTTCAAAGTGATAGGTCAATTCCAGTCTGCAAGAAGGTGAGAGGAAAAAATTTGCCAGTATACAGTTTAATGATTTCACACACCGATGACCTCATAGTGATGAAAATTCTTACTTTACAGGTACAGAAATTGATATAAAAGAATGAACAAGTAATTTTTTTAAGTTAACATGGTTAATGTATATAAACATGAATCACACAGTAACTAAAATTCATAACAAATACACAGGTTTACAGCATTACAGGCTAGTCTGATACTGGTCCTCTCTCCATTTACAGCAATGTTACATTACAAATACACAGGTTTACAGCATTACAGGCTTGTCCAATACTCCTCTATTAGTTTACAGCAATGTTACAAAATCAGGATTTGATTCCAAACTCAATGATTAATAGAAAACCACATTTGGTTAGAGAAAACCACAAAGGATTAAATAATTCATCAAAACATGATTCAATAAAGACGACAGAGTGACATAGGACCACACATGGTGAATTAAGAATGTATCACATATGATTTATCATTACTAACGCTTATAGTCACGAATTGTACTCAATGTTGTTAACAAATATAAAGGTGGTGGCCAAAAAAAAAACCCCACACACACATTCACATAGTGATCAAAATTCCACACTGTTGATTATCCACATTACTAATGGCAGGATGAAGAATGAAATTAATTGACCTGACAAATTCCTAATTTATGTAGTCTAATATAAACATGATAAATTGTTGAATATTTTCTGTGTGAGAAAAAAAAACTCACCTGATGAGCAGAGGGATTATAATTATGTCACAAACATCATCAGAATATTGCTTAAACTATTGAAACATTATACTGTATAAGCAGAAATTTTAGCGAGGATTTAATATTGGCATTATTAGCGAGGGTTCTGAGATTGCTAAAATTAAATATCGCTAACAATTAATTCTGTATCGGTTGTAATTAAGCTATCTCTCTTGACATTATAAAATCGCTAAAATATTACTTCTCGCTAAAAAAATATACCAAATTTTGGGAATAAATTGCTAAATTTGCATCTCGCTAAAATTTCCACTTATACGGTATGTTAATACAAGAGCATTTATCAATTTTCACTACGTAGTTTAAATGATAATTGTGTCTCATATCGTAAATGAAGATATCATATAAGGAAGTTATAAAATATTTTAAATAAAAACTAAAATACCAGAAGCAAGATACAGGTCTCAATGAAGTATTTTTTGTGTCAGATACAGGTAGTATGAAGGACTTCAAATATCAGGCTGCTATGAAGAATAATTTGAAGTACACATCATTATAAAGACTTGTAAGTACTAAGATACTCTGAACTACTAAGATACTTTGAAGTGAATACTGAGGTATATATTTGTTAAAACAAACTTCTATCTTGAAAAGGTAACTGTGCATATTACTTTTTATGTAGAATATACACTGACAGAAATAAAACATACAGTGCAACAAGTACTGTAGCAGGTGATAATTTGTGCTTTAAGGCAATAAAGATGATATTCTTTAATGAGCAAAACTCTAAATACACACACAGAAATAATGAAATAAAATGTAAAAATAAAGTCATAAGTAAATGGATCTACTAAAAGTCAAGCAACACTGGAGAAAAAAACAAAAAGTATATGAAGCTCTCCAAAATTCTGACATACAGAGAAAGCTATCAAAGCTGGAACTCGAGGAAGAAAAGTCCCGAGGCCTAATGTCCCTACCGTGGTGAGAGAGAAATGTGAGCACGCCCACCAAGCCTGCGTGATAATGACTTACTGAATCTTTGTAATCACTGAGCACTGGTGCAGACTCAGTTCTGCTGTGTATAACCGGGGCCATGTTTATATTAGGTGTCGATTCAGACTGGCCCGACTTCATCCCAGTTTCATACGAAGGCCCCAAGTTTCTAGAGTTCTGCTAAAGATTTTGGAGGGGGAAATCAATACAGTTACTGATCTAGAATCTGAACACTGGATTTATCAAAACAAATAAGTCTTCAACTGTTTTCTGAGGTCACCTGTAATTTATCTTTATTATAGTGCATATTAATATTACTACCATAATTGTAGACATGAATAAAAAAATGATCCACCTCATAATTAGATTACCAGTATCTTTTATTTTCTCATTTTCCAAGAAAATTTATAGAAATCTCTTCATACTGATTATTTAAGTATCTTCCAAAGAGACAAACTCAAAAACAAAATTAAGGTTAACAAAAAACTTGACTCCAACCTTGTTGGCAGAAACAGGTATCATATGATGAGACTATATTAATTAGGTCAAACTAGCGAGAGATAAGTAAAACTACAGGTAGGTTTCTTACTGGTTGTATTGCCATGGAAATGGGTCGCCCAGGGTCACGATCAGGGATGTTATTACGTCGGATGTCTAGACGATTCATTCCTTCATTAATATTCTGCAAGACAGATAGAAAAAAAGAACATGCAGTGTGCGTGCAACATCTATAACTGGGGATTACAGACATTTAAAACTACACATCCATTGGAATACGAAGCAAATAATACAAAGATATACATCTATCTGATAGCTCAGTAGGGAGATCAATATTAAGGTGGATTTTCCCTCACCAAAGTTCTACAACTCTTTGTATCTGACAGAGTAAAAGATTTCTATAGTGAAAACAGGGATATAAAATATACATGCTTATGGAAGATCTAAACACTGTTCACTGAGGAGTTCCATTTCCATGGTAATTTTGTGCAGTTAGAGTGATCTGCTCTTTGATGGAAATTACAGAGAATGGCACAACTTGAAATAGATTAAAGTATTCCTAAGATAACATTAAACCAAGATACAGTAATTGAAAACATTATTTGCAAAGAATTCCCAAATGTGACTAAACAACGATTTTTGTTCACTAATACTTTATCGTCTTTGAATATTTTTCCAGGAGAAATATGAAAGGTACCCTATGTTGAAAATGAATAAGATAAACTCAGTATCTACACCTTTATACACTTTTCTCAAAGTTGAAAAAAAAGTTTTTCATTAGTGTTTAGAGCTTCCTTAAATCATATTATCAACCCAGAACCATAACTGATTAAAGAGTACCGGTATATTAAGTATACTGTAGATTCCTAAATATATGCGAGGAATAAATTATCGCGTAATTACGCGAGAAGCACCAATCACGAAATAAAATTACTCGCTTTTATTTTTATGGTGCTTTAATGTATGTAAAATCTCTAGATAAATCACCGATTCGCGAATTATTGTTTTCGCGATTTGACGCCCTTGGGTCATTTCGCGATATTAAGTACTCGCGTAAAATAAGGAATTTACAGTATATGCTGCAAAAAGAACATAATGAAACTAATTGGCCTTCACTATTAATTCAATATAAACATGTTTTTACATATTTTAATGGGATTTATTTTTGATAAGAAACTATTGAAGTAGTTTTTTAAATATATATAATGAACAATATTCTCTGTTTCAAATCACTTCAGAATCTATATCTTGATTAATGGGAAATTAATTACAGTAAAGTCATCTGAAATCATGAAGTCTAGATATTAGCATCGTCTACAGTGCTGTTCTTTGCTACCAGAAACATTTTTTTTAAGTATGAAACAGTTATTTCTAGACCCCCCCAAAAAATCAGTTTTAAATTCGTTAATTGTGTACTTTTAATATTATGTTTTTCTCTGAGAAAAAAAAGATTGAAAGTAATTTTATATGTGTATAAAAGAATGATTCTGAATATTTAGAAAATGATATTTAAAAAAAAAATCCTTTCAACTTGAAATTGATTTTAATAACCAAGAGATTGTATTCATTTTCATTTACTTGGGAACAGTTATATTGATTTATGTTCTGTATGACTACTTACATTGTTCTGACAGGGTTGTGGTTAACTGGGGGGGGGGGGGGGGGCTTACACTGTTCTCACTGGTGCCCCGGGGGGGAGGGGGGGGGGAGGGGGGAGGATTTACACTGTTCTCACTGGAGTTAACATGTGGTTGCCCCAGGGGGGTACAATGTTCTGACTGGGGTTGTGCTTGCCCTGGGGAGGGACTTACACTGTTTTAGCAGGGGTTGTAGTTGCTCTGAAGGATGGGGATGGAGGGAGCTGGTCATTTACTTACATTGTTCTGGCTGGGGTTGTGGTTGCCCTGGGGGACGGGCACAGACGGTGCTGGTCGTTTACTGGGTATCTGAGACAACACCTGGTTACTGATAGGATGGTTCTACATAGACAAGGAACATGCAATTGATTCCAACACCTTTTTACATCATAATTATCTTCATAAATATCCACTCAACATTGCCCACCCTTCCCCCTTTAGCATTAGTCTGTTGCAAGAGTTCCCTCCAAATATCTATAGCAGTCCCTCCCTACCAATGTATTAAATAACTGTTTTTAGAGCTCTGTTGCAACGCTAAAGATATACACGCTATATAAACGCGATATTTTATGTAAAACAAAATGACTAAATGATTTGAGAAACATGATGTGTAATAAAAAATAATTACTTTCCACAAAGTTTTACTAAATAAGGCATGTAATTACAAAACAATTAAGCAAGATCTGCAATTAAGAATTCAGCCTATTCATGAATATTGATGAAGGAAGTGTGTAAACAGTATACAGACACGCATGTCTGCGGGAAATCACAGACGAGGTACGCTGCATTTTGACTACTATTTTGAATAAAAGTTAATATCTGTCATTACTGAGTAGAAGGTTAATAATGGTTGTTTTAAAAGATAAGTATCTTTAAACATAAAATGTATGCCATCCATGTCAAAAGCTATTTTGTATACCAAACAGCCCACCTCGTTTTCTTGACGCCATTTTTGTTTATTAATCTAAAAGTAGCGACGGTGTCACATGATGCATGAATTTAAATATAGCATTACTTTCCTAGTAGGATAATAATTAATTATAATTTGAGATCTTTATAATGCGTTCATTTCCAATTGTGTAATTTACAATATTTTCGTAACTTTATTTGGTAAACAAAATAAATAAATTTCCAACTTTATTTTTAACTGAGGCAAGTTATAGCATGTATATCTTTAATCTAAAAGAAAAATCATTACAGGTTACTTCTTCACATTACTGACTACCAGCTTCACTATATATAGAAGCAGAGTCTAAATTCTACATTCAAATTCTATTCTATTTCCCTAGGCATCACAAAGAAAGAAGGAGCAATGTTGAGTGGATATACATGTATATAAAACTAATAACTCATGCAATATTCTAATGAGAGATTATTACATTACAACGCATACAACAATCAATCTACAGGGTCTTCATGCAAAGCAGTAGTGAATTATAGAAGATACAACTTACAGCATGCATCAGGTCTGACCAGTTGATTTTAATGAGTTTGTATATTTGATATATAACTTGGGCACCTCAACATAATATCAATGTATAAGTATTCTTGTACATCCATCAGATTGCATTCTTTTTTGTTTTGCAAGAAAATGAATATTTTTTCATAATATTGAAAAAGCTATACATGTATTAATTTTAATCCTAACTCTAGTTAAAACATCCTTCTAGAGTCCTAGTGGAACTCTGAAACCGATCTTTTGCTCTTATTTTTATATATTAAGCTCTATATTAACATCTAAGACCTTGAATCATTCTAACATCTGTTAAAATTGATGCTGAAAACTATGATCAATTTCTGTAAAATACATACTTCAAGCTATCTGCATATTCACAAGTTTATTCATTCTATCAAAATAAAATTGTATGTCTAGCAAACAACTACAGATTTCCTCTCAGATTTCACTTTAACAAGGGTGGTGGCTCTAATCTCCAGTAACTGTGTAACTTACTCGATGTCTCACCTCTAGAGTCTCACTTCTTCACTTCATTTGTTGAATGTGACAGACAAATCCAGTGTTATCACACTTAATGGCTCAAATTATCTCACCTGCAAGTCCTCATTATCTCACTTAAATAAACCTCCCTCTCTCTATATAATGCTCTCAACATTTCACCTGAACATTCTCAATATCTCACATAAGGGCCCTACATTTAAGTCAATATCTCACCTGGATGTTGTCAATATCTCACATAATGGCCCTCAATATCTCACCTGATCATTGCCATTCATCAGTCGTTCCTTTAACTCTTTGTCAGCTTCTTTAATTGTCATGATCCAGTCTCCCTGCATCTCATCCTCCTGAACATCTCTTTAAAAACAAACAACAGGTCAAAGGTCAAGGTCAATCAAATATGTCACAGGGTCACTATACGTATACAATCTTTTCTTCCTACTTAAAGGTCATCCCTCAGTTCACTCATACAATTTTTTGCCTAAACACTGATGATTTTCAAAAACAAATCTTATTTGTTACTAAAATGCTAGGAATTCCAGCATACCTTGCAGGACAAAATGTGGCAGAAATGAGCTTTTTATCTAGACAATTTTATAAAGGATCAATAGACATGTTTTCCTTTTAGAGTTATCTCTCTTATCAGAAGGTCAATGAACTTTAAACTTAGTAACAAGTCAGAAGGATAAACAGATAAGTCATTACCAATACAGATGCTCTTGATCTTTTAAAAAGGAAAATAAATATAACCCATTCTTCCCCTGGATACCAAACACAGTAACTTACTCATCACTCTCGGAGTCCGAGTCAGAGTCGTTCCCCTTCTCCTGTTTCCACCTCTGATATCTGTCTATTAATTCTTGTAGATATGTTGTTTTTCTGGCCCTCCTGATGAATGGGTGTCTTAACAGTTCCTTTGCTGAGGGCCTCTGATAATACAACATATATATTCATTTCAATATGTCAAACTAGCAGGTAAAGACATCAGTATATTAACAAAGAACTACAGCTTGTTTCTTTACTGTGAAAAAAAAAGGACTGAAACAGCAGTCATTTTTTTTTTTTTCAAAATAATTCTTCTGTAAATGCTTTGCAAAAATACTTGTTTTATTTTTTTATGCTTAAAAAGCCATAAGTCAAACTTAAACATCAAAGCCTGTAGATCATCAGCTTTAAAATCTATATCATGATCTTGAATGCTCTGACTTTACATATCAATAAAATCAACAAGTGAGATCTTAACACTGGTAGTTCGGTGGATAATCCTCGAGAGCACAAGACCACACTACATGTATGTGGGAATGATAAAAACTTGCTACATGTACTCCCTCACAATACAGATCTATATGTAACTCATTTCATGAGGAAATGTGGAAATGACAAGACCTTAGTACGTATGTACTCACATTGTTAGGGTCCTTATTAAGGCACAACTCCACAAACTCCTTGAACAGTTTGGAGAAGTTCCCCGTCAGCTGTGGAGGGTTATTTTTAGGGATCAGGAACAGGACTCTCATTGGATGGAGGTCAGAGTTGGGGGGTTCCCCCTTGGCCAGCTCTATAGCAGTGATACCCAAACTCCATATGTCAGCCTGAAATTAGATCTCATTTATATCCAAAACTTCCAGTATTTATGTTTAGAAATAAAATCTCTTCCCTTAGTTCTATAAAAATTATAACTTTACTGTTAGATTCATTGTCAATCAGTGACTAGATATTAATAAAACTGATTAATTTATTTGTACCCAACTTTCCATATGTTACACATTTATTTGCAATTTACTACTGTAACAAACATTAATTGAAATCAATTTAGCAGAACATCAAAAAAAAAAAATTAAATGCATATTAAACACAATAGATGAAGAAGCAGATATTTACCTTGGTGTCGTACGCTGACTGTTTGATAACCTCGGGGGCCATCCAGAACGGGGTCCCAACAAATGTGTTCCGTTTGTTAGTCGTGTTAGTCAGCTGACCAGCAACTCCAAAGTCAGCCAGTTTAACATCCCCCATTTCTGACAGCAAGACATTGGCAGCTGTAGGTAGGAAAAGAGAAGTAGATCTGTCAAGTATACCTTAGACAATTACGGTAAACGATTGCTAAGTAATAACATAATTAGACTAGTTTGGTGATCTGAGTATTCATATTATAGGACAAATGTAGCTCTATTTAATAAAATCATACACTTCTGTTGTTAACCTGTGCATGTTATTACATCAATTAAAATTTATATGTATGTACTTATAACTAATTATAATTTAGTACACTGTAAATAGTTGTACCATATTTGCCACACTCTTCAATATAAGCAGACACCTCTCTAACACTACATGAATTTCATACTAAGATCACATCTATTTGGAAAACAGGAAATTCAAAAGCCAAGGGTATACACAAGGGTCTCCCAAGGCCTTGAAATGGTCACTTAAATACAAACAGACAAAAAATCACAGTTTATATACTACATGTTCGGAGCTCCAAGACGCACAAACTGACAGATGGGTTTTTTTTATCAGAATATCCCTTAGCACCAATAGCTTATTTTTATAATCCTTAAATGATTTCCCTGTGTTTAACCACTAATAAGAGCTCTTGGTTCAAGGTTACTTTGAAAATTTAATGAATATTGGCTGAGTGGTTCTTGATACGTGGTCCATATTCTGTAATTTAATGTTCACAGCAATAATTACTACAGGATAAGTTCAACTTCAGTTCAGGTGAGCTAAATAGGCATCTAACATTGAATTTTCACTAACAGGAAGATTGGTAAAAGTACCAACAGGCCACGGTTTCAGTTTCAATTTTAGTGCATTTTTTTTCATATAAATATATCCATAAATTATAAACAACATAATCAACAAACAGGAAGCTGTCCTGAGTGATACATCACATCAGATAAAAGCCTTACTTACAACTATCAACTATAGCTTCTGTGAAAAGTGTAATAAAATAATGGCAAGGGTCATATTAATTACATACTGTAAAATCACAGATTTTCAAGGAGTTTAATTGTTTTTTTATGGTATAGACACTCAAATTCATGTCCTCTATAAACTGTTAAAATTTTCAAACAACAGTATTACGTTTTTTCTTCATCCATGAAAATCAAATCCCCATGAATCAATACACTGGAATCTTTATTGTTCGTGGGGGGGGGGGGGGGGGACTAATGTTCTTGGATTTTGTGGGTCACCCTAACTCATGAATTTACATCCCCACAAATGATTATTTTGTCATGTATTGATCCATTGATATTTCTGTATAAAAGAGTTACCCATGAAATTACCAAACATTGACCACCCAGCAAATTAAAATGATTTCACGGTATCCTCCTCAAACCACAAAAATCTGACCTCACAAAAATATGAGATTTTACAGTAATAACGACTTAATAATCAAGTAAGTCCCCAATGTTACATAACTATTTTCCAAGGAACTTATTCACCCAAGTGACAATACAGTAGAATTCAGTTTGTTTTCTCAAACTCGATGGGACTAAGAAAAAACTTTAAGACATTGAAGTATTCCAGATATCCAGGGTAAAATACTTAAAGAATAAGTGGTTGGGACTTCCAAATCACTTCGACATATCCATGGAATTAGAGATATCAGTATTCGAGATACCAAAGTTCAACTGTATTTGATGTCTGACTGGAAAGGCTCAAGTGTTACTGTCCAAGTGCTTCCACAAGGTTCCTCCTATTTTGGTTAAAGTACTGCCTGTTTCTAATCTTTTTTGAAAGCCCTGAAGCTTCACACAATACTAACAATCTTTGGTACATCTTTCTAACCTCTGATATCTCTGTGTAACTTCAGACAATACTGACTGAATATTTGATATATCTTTCTAACCTCTGATATCTCTGTGTAACTTCAGACAATACTGACTGAATATTTGATATATCTTTCTAACCTCTGATATCTCTGTGTAACTTCAGACAATACTGACTGAATATTTGATATATCTTTCTAACCTCTGATATCTCTGTGTAACTTCAGACAATACTAACTGAACATTTGATATATCTTTCTAACCTCTGATATCTCTCTGTAACTTCAGACAATACTGACAACCTTTGATATATTTTTTTTACCTTTGATATCTCTATGTAGCTTCCTCTCAGAATGTAGGTAGTCCAGTCCTTTGAGGATTTCTCGTAAGATGATGGCAATGTCATTCTCAGAGAAAGGTCCTGCTTTCATCAGATCTAAAGCCGAACCTCCCCCCAAGTACTCCATGATGATCCATAACTTGGAACCCTGGATATAAACAAATCCCTATAAAAACATCCATGTCTATACATGTAATTTGTGCTTCATAACTTTATAGAAGACACTGTGTTACTCTGAATTTTATTAAGGTTTAATCACAAACTTGACTTAAATTTCGAGTCAATTTAAGTGATCAAAACAAACTTGATCATTTTTAATCTTTAATTAATATCTGAGTATGACCTGAAACAACAATGATCTTGAAAGTACTTGGTGATGTAAGGACTGTCTGACCTTGTCCTGGTTTAATACTGACCTTGAGGTAAGAATATTTACTGCTGTTGGGAATGACTGACCTTGACCTGGTTTTATACTGACCTTGAGGTAGAAGCCTTGGTACTTGGTGACATAGGGACTGTCTGACCTAGTTTTAAACTGACCTTGAGGTAGGAGCCTTAGTACTTGGTGACTTAGGGACTGTCTGACCTAGTTTTAAACTGACCATGAAGTAGGAACCATAGTACTTTGTGACGCAGGGACTGTCTGACCTAGTTTTATACTGACCTTGAGGTAGGAACCATAGTACTTGGTGACGTAGGGAACTGTCTGACCTTGACCTAGTTTTATACTGACCTTGAGGTAGGAGTCGTAGTATTGGTGATGTAGAGACTGTCTGACCTGTTTTTATACTGACTTTGAGGTATGAGCATTTGTACTTCTTGACGTAGGGACTGTCTGACTTTGACCTAGTTTTATACTGACCTTGAGGTAGAAACCGTAGTACTTGGTGACGTAGGGACTGTTTGACTTTGACCTGGTTTTATACTGACCTTAAGGTAGGAGCCGTTGTACTTGGTGACATAGGGACTGTCTGACCTAGTTTTATACTGACCTTGAGGTAGGAGCAGTAGTACTTGTGACGTAGGGACTGTCTGACCTTGACCTAGTTTTACACTTACCTTGAGGTAGGAGCCGTAGTACTTGGTGACGTAGGGACTGTCACACTGGGACAGAACCATGATCTCCTGCTGAATATCCTCGATTTCATCCTCTGCCTCCTCCAGATCGATGATTTTGATGGCCACAACTTTCTTCGTCTCGTTGTCTAGACCTTTGTAAACTTCCCCAAAAGACCCCTTCCCAATCTTGTCCATCTTGGTGAAGCATATCTCTGGGTCAATCTGCATCCCCCGCCGCTGAAAAATATTCATAACATTAATCAACAATCATGTTAAAGGAAACTGCATTAATAACTGACAAAAGCCAAAAAACCGTGTATCAAGAAAAATAACATCACTGAACATCCATTTAAGAAATGATCAGTGTATTTTATCATGCATACACAATATGGCCTCTTCTTTCCTGTTCATGGATTAATATCTGGTTAAATTGCCAAGTATTAAAAAAGAGGCACATGAAAGACTTAAAATTCAATGAATAAAAACTCTTTTTTTTTAATTATTCCTCATATGCATCTAAGAAGTTCCAGAAGTTCCAGTGTGATTTTACATAATAATATGGAACATGAAGTTCGGGGGGGGGGGGGGGGGGGGGGGTCTTATATAAGGCCATAACTCTTTGTTTAGTGGCCATATTAGGATAAAACATAATGTACAGAAGACTCTAAGCATGTTAAACATGTTAAAAGCAGAAAAGACAGAATATTTTTTGAAGTATTTTTTTTAGGTTTACCCTGGTATACTATAAGCTATATTAAAAGCTAACTAAAAAAAAAAAATAACTGAAAAAAATATTCATTCAACAAGAGGCCCATGGGCCACATTGCTCTCCTGAGCACAATGTCTAGGAAAAAGCAGAAATCAGTTTTGTTTTGAAAAGATTAAAACATCTATAAGTGATCGCATCCCCCCCCCCCCCCCCCACTTGAATTTACACTGAGGATGCTTCCATATTTCTTTGACTAATCATGGTTTTAGAAGATTTTTTTCTATATGATAGATCTTCTATTGTGGCCTTCCCTACCTCCAGGAACATAATTTGAACACTACCTGAGGATGCTGCTGAATTAATATGACTAATCATAGATTTGCTATTCTTGGAAAGAATATTTTTAATGATTTATCTTAATAAATTTTTATCTTTAGTGTGTATTCCTATGAAAAACTTTGATCACCAATTGTGGCCCCTCCCTACCCATGGGGGTCATGATTTGAACAAACTTGAATGTAAACTTCCCAATGATGCTTCCATATAAATATGTCTAATCATGTCTTTGCTGTTCTTGAGTTGAAGATTTTTCAAGATTTTTCTTATGTATACCTATGTAAAACGTTGATTGCCCATTGTGGCTAGGGCTGTGTATTGAGCAAAATATTTCGATACGATACGATACAATATTTTACAAGAGGCCCAAGGACCTTGAATCGCTCTTCTGATAAACTGTACAACCTATCACTTCTATTTGAAGCCTCTAAGTATCCTTTATATTTAGATAAACCCTTGAAATTCCAGTTCACATTCTGAGAACCCAAGATGATTCTAAGCCAATTAGTACCTGAGAGTTGGTCATGGTGACCTGCTTTTATCACTTGTCATTCTCTGAGGACCCATTAACTAAGTTTAATGATTCTAAGCCAATTAATACCTAAAATTTTTTTTTTAAATTATAACCATAAAATTTTATAAGTAGGTCAAAGTGACCTACTTTTCAGTTGTTGTACTCCAAGGACCCAAGATGCATTAACTGACAAAGTTTGATGATTCTAAGCCAATTAGTACCTGAAATATTTAATTAAAGCCATAAATTTTCAAAAGTAGGTCACAGTGACCTACTTTTCAGTCGACCTACTCCGAACACCCAAGATACATCGACTGACAAAGTTTGATGATTCTAAGCCAATTAGTACCCAAAATATTTGACTGAAGTCATAAATTTTCAACAGTAGGTCACGGTGACCTACTTTTCAGTCAACCTACTCCGAGGACCCAAGATGCATCAACTGACAAATTTTAATGATTCTAAGCCAAATAGTACCCGAAAAATATTAAATACAGCCATAAAATTTCAAAACTAGGTCACAGTGACCTACTTTTCAGTTGTCGTACTCCAAGGACCCAAGATGCATCAACTGACAAAGTTTGATGATTCTAAGCCAATAAGTACCTGAAATATTTAATTAAAGCCATAAATTTTCAAAAGTAGGTCACTGTGACCTACTTTACAGTTGTCATACTCAGAGGACCCAAGCTGCATCAAATGACAAAGTTGATGATTCTAAGCCAATAAGTACCTGAAATATTTAATTAAAGCCATAAATTTTCAAAAGTAGGTCACGGTGACCTACTTTTCAGTCGACCTACTCCGAACACCCAAGATGCATCAACTGACGAAGTTTGATGATTCTAAGTCAATTAGTACCTGAAATATTTAATTATAGTCATATAAATTGAAAAGTAGGTCACGGTGACCTACTTTTCAGTTGATGTTTTTTGAGGACCCAAGATGCATCAACTTACAAAGTTTTATGATCATAGGCCTCAAAATGTCCAAATTATGCCTCTAAAATGCTTTGAAATCGAATGCCTGCAAAGTTCAAAAAGTAGGTCACTGTGACCTACTTTTTAATAAATACGTTTTATGGCCCCAAGATGCATCATCTTACAAGTTTTAATGATTCTAAACCTTTTGGTATTGGAATTAATGGCCTTAATTGTTTTGATAAAGATTAGCCATAAAATTCAAAAAGTAGGTCAAGGTGACCTATTTTTTAGTTGACGTACTTCAAGGACCCAAGATACATCAACTGACAAGGTTTGATGATCATAGGCCTTAAATTGCTCAAAATATGCCTCTAAATCATTTTGAAAAAGAATGGCCCCAAAATTTAAAAAGTAGGTCACCGTGACCTACTTTTGAGTCAACATGATATGAGGTCCTTAGATGCATCAACTGACAAGATTTGATGATCCTAGTCCTCATAGTAAGCAAAATATCAACATTTTAATAAAATGTAATTTTTGGTCAACTTTGAAGTGACCTTGAGACAACGCCCTTTGCCCCAGGGTAAATCCCCATGCAAATTTTAATCTACAACATATCCTCATCCTTTTGTGTACGTTTGGTGATAATCTGCCCAGTGGTTCTTGAGAAGAAGTTTTTTTAAGCAACCAGTACTTTTGTTTCTATTTTCCTAATTATCTCCCCTTGTTAAAGGGTCACAACCCTAGTTTTAGTATAAAAGGGAGCCCTTGGGCCAAGGATACCCTGTGACAAATTTGACAATAATTGGCCAAGGGGTTCTTGAGTTATGGCCCATATTCTAAAAGTTTACGCACACCGCACGCCGCACACCGCACAAACGGCCATAGCATTAGCTCTTTGAGCCTTTGGCTCAGAAGAGCTAATAAAGCGATATGCGATATATTGGATTCTTTAACAAGTCTATCAAAAAAGTCTTGTATATCATTTAATCCATAGATTTGATAAAAACTGGGTGTTTTATTACCGAATTGGAAGTTCATGTCTCACTGCTTTACAAAGTACACTTCAAATTCAAACTTTTAATGATTGTAAAACTAACATGTTAAAATATAGTTGTCTATGTATTTTGTAAAAGTTATTTAGGATGTGCTATCTCCTTAATGTTTATTTCACTATTGATCATTTTGAATTCAAAACAGTTAAAATTAACCTTTGGTGACTGAAATTCCAAACTTTTTAACAGAATTATAAGAAAAACTGCCTGCCCGATACGTATTGGAAGTTATTTTTCGATACGATACATTCCTGAATATTCGATACGTATTGATTAATCAATATATTGACACAGCCCTAATTGTGGCCACTCCCTACTCCCACGGGTCACGATTTGAACAAACTTGAATTTACACCACCTGAGGATGCTTCCATATTAGGGATGTGCGACTTTATTGGTATACCAGTATATCATGATTTTTTATTGCGTGATACATATCGTGATTCGAAGACTGAAATACCAGTATTTAGTTTGTAATTTTTAATTTCAGGATTAATTAATTTTTTTTGTTCAAACTCTTGAAGCATATGTGAAGTACAGTTATAGGAATCATGAAAAATGTTGTAAAACGTAGAGTAAAACAACAGGATCCTAGCATCCAAACATGCTTAATTAATATATAGAAAAAAATTTCAAAAGTGAAGTTATATTTTTACACTATATTTGTTAGAAACATTATGAAAATAAAATAATAGAAAAATTATTTGTAAAAATATCTGTGTCATATGATATTATCATGATATTTTTTAGAAAGATTGTGATATATCGCGATACAATTTTTTTGGCAATACCCATCCCTATTCCATATAAATATCACCAATCATGGCTTTACTGTTCTTGAGAAAAAGATTTTTAAAGATTTTTCCTATATTTTCCATGTAAAACTTTGATCACCCATTGTGGACCCAATCTACCCCAAGAGGTCATGATTTGAACAAATTTGAATCTATATTCTGTCAGGAAGCTTCCAGATTAGTTTCATCTTTTCTGGCCCAGTGGTTCTTGATCATCATCAGATTTTCAAATGACCCCATCCAATTTTCCCTTGGGAGAGGGTGTGGCCCTGCATGTGAATAAACTTGAATCCCCTTTACCCAAGGATACTCTGTGCCAAGTTTGGTTGAAATTGGTCCAGTGGTCTTGGAGAAGATGAAATTGTGAAAAGTATACAACAACAATGATGGCAGACAACGGGCAAATTTTGATTAGAATGCTCACTTGAGCCTTTGGCTCAGGTGAGCTACAAATATTTCATTCAGATTCACCCTGATATGAAATTTTTGTACGATGTATGATAATAAAGGTACTCTTTTTTTTCCCCTTTCCACCAGGAAGGAAGTAGATGAATCGTTCAGACAGAAGTTATGTTATCCTCTGTAACCCTCTCGCTATGACGACAATTATTGAGCATGCCGAGACCCAACATAAGACTGTGGTTAATATCATTCAAACTTTGTCACGATTTCAAACTATCCTGCTAAGATTATTTTTCTAAGAACCAAACTACAGTAACAGCGTTGTGATTAATTCTTTTTTATCAATAACACAGCCCTGTGCTTGATGGGTAGCAGATTTTTTTTTATTTATTGAATGCATGCTTGCCAACAAAGCAACAGTCAACAGCTGGGGATTTTACAAGTAAATTTTATTAAGGCATTGTCCAAACATTTGATTATACTTCCCCGAGTTACAAATTTAAATTGGTCATAAATTTTAGATGCACTGTTCCCCTAGTAACTTTTAAAAACAACTCAGAATTTTATTTTCTGAATTTTAATCCTGCTACTGAACTGAAATATAAGCTAATTCATTTCCATTATGCCTCCTTCAGTCTCCTTGGAGTCTATATATTGCACACAAGCATCAATGTCAAATCGGAAAAAACTTTCAGGAAATATTTCAGCATTGGTGGCAATGCATGCAGTGATTGCTTTCTCAATTTTTTTTTTATTTTGATGAAAGTCAAATTCAAGAATTAACTGTATATATAGAGGATATTCAATGTTTTGTTGTTGGATATGGAATTTATTTCACGAGTGGGACAGAATTTTTTGATATTTTCACGAGTGCGAAGCACGAGTGAAAATATCAAAAAATCCTGTCTCACGAGTGAAATAAATTTCATATCCAACAACAAAACATTGAATTTTCTGTTTATTACATTTTCTTTGATTTTTCTTTGCCTCTGTCTTTTCTTAACACAGTGTTGTAGGCTGTGACGTCATAGTTGAGTGGCTGAGACGTCATAGCTTAGGAATTGTGAGATTGAAAACATTGTAAAATTGTTTTTAGCAATACATTTGAGAGAAAATTTACAGTTTTAGTCTCTATTAAGATGGTTTAGTTACTATTTCTATCTTATGACAGACCAGAAATCATTTCTACTTTCTTTGATATCCTTTCACACAGTGAGAGAATATCACTTTGGTATCCTTTCACACTGTGAGAGAATGTCACTTTTATTCAATGAATAAATCACAGTATTTCACTGTTGAAAATGTAATAAATAATATTAACAAATAGATAGGCAGTCATGGAAGACTATGTGGGCTAACAATGAATCACTTACGTATTTAGATTAGAATACCAGGGTTTACTGTATTTCTTACAACTGCAGCAGATGCCCACTTGGTTTAGTGGGTTAAGCTCAAAAATTAAAGTTTTGAGGTTCAAACCATACAAATATAATAAAACAGTGTACACGTTTATTCCTGAGAACGTTACAAAGACGAATTCACGAGCTGCTTTAAAGTTTCAGCCATGACCACGATTTCTTCTACACCATGGATAGCCTTCTCCAGTTTACCTCTCTGACTTTACCACAGTTACCTGTGATGTTAAATTTGACATTATACTAGTATGATTCAGTAATATGACTTCAATCCTATATTTATAATGCAGTACATGTACCTGAGTTCACTTCCTCGTTGTTAAAATGACTCCAATATCAGTCAGTGATTTACAATGTCACTGGGACAATCTACATGCTCTAGGTTTCCTAACTTTAAAATTTATTATCAGTTTACAATGCTGTTTCGATATCTGATATCAAAGAAGATAGATTTAGCATATCATATCTAGAATAACTTCCCACTAAAGAAATATGAGTGCCATGGTATATGTCAAATAACTGTATTTGTGAGATAATCATACAGCTATATTGCTAGATACTTGTGCAAATTATGTTTTATACCCCCACCATTTCTCTAGCTTGGGGAAGGGGATTTATTTAGGACCAAATTCATTACGTTCAAATGCATTAGAAAAATAGGAGGCTTATTGCATACAATCTGAATCTTTACAGAATATATATTAAGTATAAACAAATGTTTAGTGTACATAAAACCTTGACTTAAAACAATCTTGCAAAGTTCACAAGAGAATGACGTTACAGAAGTGTGTAAGAATTGAATTTATAGCTTCATTATTGTGACAAAATCTTACAATGAGATACTGTAAATATGGTAAAGGTACCTTCTTCCACAGGGGGTCATAATTAGGTCGAATCAACGTCCACAAGTGGAAAGTTCAATCCACGAGTATAAAATTAAGTGGATTTCGTGGATTGACATTGTAATAACATCTTAAATAAAATATAAGTACGCTGAGACAAATTTCTGCGATAAATCTGACCATGTACATTGCATAAATTAATCCCACGTGGGAAAAGGGTACATCAACAATTATATTGCCAAAATATCAGAAGTAAAACTTTAGTTTCAAGACATGATTGTAAATCGCTATTTCATTCAACATTGTTCAAGCTCCCTTCCCATCCTATTTATCTCTTAAATAAATTTGTAAAATAAAACCCCACCTCCAATTTGGGCTATCACGAGTACCCGAAATAACCGAGAACCATGGTCCAAGTTGTTCAGTTTGGTTCCGGTTCCATTTTTCCAGATTTCGGTTCGGGTCTGGTTTATATATTAGAGTCTGTTCAATACAAAAAATGGCGTCGAAATCAAAGGAATGATGACTATAACAGTGATAAATAAACATCACAACTGAAATCTACTTCATTCCATGACAAAACACTTGTCATGGAAGTATTAGATAATTATCAAAACGAGCAGGAATGGTCAGGTTGTGGCTAATAGTAGGCCAAGTCACCGATGTCTAGACGTTCGCACGGTTAAGACTTGTTTTCAATGTAAATTTAATGTAACAAATAAAGATTTTTCAAGTTAAATTCATAAAATTAAGGTTTAAAATAGATGTAAATAACCGACCCGAAAAACCCGAAACCAAACCGAAAATTTACAGAACCGACCCGACCCAAAAAATTTTGGAACTGTGACAGCCCTACCTCCAACCCCAATTCACGTCCACCCATGGGTTATCAGATGAATTGGTACAAATATTAAATTTAAAGATGAAGTAATTCATGTTATCATAAAAGTACTTCAAAAAAATATTGATAATCTTGAAACATGACAGACAAGATACACATGACACAGATAACAGTATTGACAATAGAAAACGGAGGGTGACAAAAAGGACTTGGTCAATATCCTCAAACAAGATTAACAGAGGGTTCAAATAAATCATCATATTTGTTCAGATCTGACAATAAATCTGATACAATACACAACATAGCATTAACCAGGGAGGAACAACACATGAAAATGAGACCAATGGTTTATGGAAACTCTGAGTACAGACCGAATCATCAAATAAAAATGTTTTAAATGACATAATGAATAATTTTAATTAAAGCAGGGACCTAATTAAGCATTGAATTACTATATTTTTGAAAGATGTAGACTGTAGTCTCGTAACTGCAATGTGTGTGCAATCAAATTGAGAAATGGGTGTTAGCGAATTATGAAAATTTGCTTGCACACACCGTTGCAGTTCTGAGCCTACACCTTTCAAAAAATAAAAATTCAATGCCTATAAATATTTACATTTTTTAGCTCTCTGCCTTGTCTGCAAATGTGATTTTTATGCATGTATATAAATAGTGTGTATGTATATGTATGGAGGTCAGGACATCAAAAGAATCGTACCTTCTCTGTACATATGCCCTTTTTGTCAGAGAGCTAGGGTACAGATTATGGTGTGTTGGATGTATTACATATATTATGCAGATGGAACTTTTTGACTTTTAAATGGTAACATAAATGCAGAAAAATATGTATGCAAAAAAATATGTTACAAATAAAGAAATCTCTTTATGGCTGGGCATTTTGTAACATTTTAGCCAAAAAAATTGAACAGTTTTTCAAGATGGCAATCTCCACATACATGGAGGTTATCAAAATTACTTGGGATTACACATTGGAAAAAGGTATAATTGTGTGTACCTTGACATTAAATTGATTAATGTCATTAAAAAAATGTGACTTTAAATTAAACAAACTCTACACAACAGACAATAAAAAAATTTGGACTTGAAGAGCTCTTCAGCATTATTTCAGACATCTCAACTTGATTTCTACTCAGAACTCCTCAAAAACTGTTTATGATTCCAAACCATTCCTTTTATCTATAGCTGTCATTAAGTGTAAGAAGCATAGCACCAATTAAGTTTAAAATAAAATTGATATGATACTTATTGTTTGTTCACATGAAGTCCATCACCGTTTTCAACCACCATTTCGAAAAAAAAAAAAAAAATATAAAAGCACACTTATATCATAGCGCTGTTCATTGAATGCAAAAACTTTTGGAAAGCAACTTTTTCCATTTACACAGGATCTATGGTTGAGATATTGATCCGTAAGAAGATTTGAATCTTCCTTGGGATCAATGAACTAAACAGTAGGGATACAGAAAAATACTTGTTTACCACAAGTTGTTGCGATGAGGATTTAGGCCTACAATATTTCAAACTCTATATTTTTTTTATTCATATTTTGCACTAAAACTTTTTTGTACATTTTGTAAATTTTTTGTACTTTCTGTAAATTATATTTCATCTGGTATATTATAACCATTACATATAATTCTGTATCCCATTTGGGCAAGTGGTCCCATCTTGTTATCGACAGACAGCAATATTTACCATCTAGGCCTATAGGTAGCATGTACCCCAAAAACTAACACCACAGCCAAGTAACTGATGCAAACATCAAAACATTGGAAACTTTTTTGAAATTCTGCAATTTCATGCCATTACATCTACGTAGTGTGTGTACAACATCAATGAAACAAGTATCCAGAAGAAAGGAGAAAGTTACATGTCATTCTGACTGGTGACAACACGGATATTTCCGAGGTATTCCAAAGATTTAGTTCAAAGAACGGACACCTGTTCCGAATGACAATGATTAGTCGATTGATATGAGAACTGACGTTGGAATTTGAAAGTGATTATGTAAATATCACAATCAAAAACTTAAATAGCTAGGGATGGCGTGGGCAGGGGGTCAGATCCGCGCACCTTGCATTCTTACCTGTGGTTGAGCCATGGTGTTTGACACTTGAGAAGATCACGACAAGTGTCGCCCCAAAAGTTACAAACTTTTTCCGTCACTTTTCTTTACTTGCTGTCTATTTCGTTTGAGTTTAACATTCCAGTGTCTTATGATAAATTTTATGCAAGAGTTCCCTGGTTTTTAAGTTCCAGTACATTGCTAGCAATGTGTTTCTCTCAACTACTTTTCAGGTCGAGTTCACCAAAATACTCCGCCATCTTGTTTCAAGGGTGTGTCCGGTTTTCTCAATAATGTTGGGCACAAAATATAGTACAAAGTAATAATTGAAGGACAATTTGAAGATGTAATATTAAGCCTTTAAATGAAATCTATAAAGATTGCAAGAAATCTTCGTTATTATTCACAATTGACACAAAATGTTTATGATAAATATTTCCCATTTTTTTCTTCTCGTATTGCGTAGGAATATCTGGTATTTAACCTTTGACCCTCAGGTAAAAAAATCTCGTACTACATGAATTGTACGGAGACCCCCGGGTGTAAATTACACAGATTAAGGTAATATGTATGGTGTCTCGAACGTGACAACATTCTACCGATAGCAAAACGGCTCAGTTAGTCTGTGGAAGCCTGAAATTTTTAAAGACTCTATAAAATAAAATAAAAATTACCGAATTGAGCTAGACCTAAATTATTTGCAAAGGTACATTTGTAAAAACCAACCAAAATCTGAGAGTATTGCATTAGCAATACTAGTCCCCTACCAGCAAGTTTAATCTGGTTCCCGTTGAAAAATTGAAAATGCCATAATTCTGTCAAAAATTATCGAATCGGAACAAAATGCAAACTTGATCTATAAGTCATCAAGGTAAACTCATATATCAATCAGAAGTCTCTGATGAGACTGCAGCTCTACTGGTCTTTACGTAAAACAATTAAAGGAAAAGTAGCACTTGGATTTGAAACTTTGCAACATGCAACAATAGATAGAATTAATAATATCTTAACGTAGTCTACTTTTGTGTCAAGTTATATTGAAATCAAACGAAAACTGTAGGAGGAGGAGCGTTTTGACAGTATTTCACAGAAATTTCTATTTTTAGTAATCATGACAACACTTCACTGAAATCAAAAACCGAAATATTATTTATCGTAGTGTATTCTAATTGTGTGCCAAATTAGATTGAAATCAGACCAAAATTGTAGGAGGAGTAGCGTTTTAAATGAATTTCACAGAAATTTCTATTTTTAATAACCATGGCAACACCGTGCATCGAAACCAAAAACCGATGCATTAAATTATGTAACTTAGCATAGTCTTCTTGTATGCCAAATTATATTAAAAGCAGACTAAAACTGTAGGAGGAGTAGCGTTTTAAAGTAATTTCACAATAATTTATATTTTTAGTAACCGTGGCAACACCGTTCATCTAAATCAAAAACCGATGCACTATATTATGTATCTTAGTAAAGTCTACTTGTGTGTCAAGTTATGTTAAAATCAGACCAAAACTGTAGGAGTAGCGCTTTAAAGGAATTTCACACAAAGATTTAGATTCTAGACTCTATAGATTTTCATTCGTCGATCTCTTTAGTATTTTTTTTATGACGTAACATATACATTTTTGTATCAATCGAATCTAGTAGACATTGACAGTTTTTAATGATACTTGCAAACTGTACTACATGTATGCATCGGCAAATTTCTCATCCTATCTCAGCTCTAAGTTTTCGTATACGATGCCCAGCTGCTTTATTTTTCGGGGATTAATTCGCATTTTTTTTACACCTCATATGACATTTAAAATATGAACGTATATTCAGCCCCCTCCCCTTCAAAGTACCAAAACATGAAAATGGTATATAATACCCTATACCCAGGATTGATTGATTCGTTGTTTAACGTCCCAATCAAGAATTTTTAACTCATATTGAAGGGCTTAAAATTAAGAACTATACTCTGAACTAATGCCATTGATCGAGTCACTCTCTACCATGCATTGGCGCATGTGTATGAGAGAGGAACGAACGACAACTCTGCAAGGGAGATAGCCATTGAACAGTGAGGGTTTTTATCGTGCCAACGCCTACCGTGACACAGGGCCTCGGTTTTTAAGGTCTCATCCAAGAGACCCGTGACTTTCACTTCTAATGTCGGGCGCTTGGCAAAGGATCAGTCACTACCCACGTATAGGCGCAGCAAACGAGAATCGAACCCAGGCCCTCCGGTCATGAAGTAAACACCCTATTTCCAGGAAATAAAAATAAAATGATAATTATTGGTAATATTTAATGCAGAGCACTTTATTTTAAAATTTGAATTTAAAAACTTTCAGTTTTGAATTTAATTATATTAGGACACACCCCGCATCAAAGCATGAATTGCCGCGCAACAAAAATTACAGTGCTTCTTAGTTTCCGGAAGATATCTAGAGAGAGAAAATCCTTTAGCTTTAGCAATGAAATTTAAATAATAACTCCACACTTAAAAACGACCACCAGTGATTTTGAGATTAAAAGGCCAAAGGTCTAGATCAGAAATTTATAAACATGTACATGTACATGCATTACAAAAATTTGTTTTTAGGTGATATCCCTTTGAGCGTTTGCAATGAATATTAAGGTGATGAATCTCTCTATAACTGAAGAAGGACTCGATTCATATTGGTTTCAAGACCAAAAGGTGATATGTCAGTAGGTGCTTGAGGATAGGACCCCCCCCCCCTCCAAGTGGCAACCCCCACCCCCATATAGACCCCGGGGTCGTTTTGACTTTTTTCCTCATAAATTATCTTTTAATGTCATATTTGTGATATAATCCATACCATCGATTCGAAAAATCACCTAAAACAAACATTTTATAAAAATTTCTACCCACTCGATCTACATAATTATATAGACATGATAGAGTGGCCAGAATTTTTTATGAAATGTTTTTAGGTAATTTTTCGAATTGATGGTATGGATCACCACAAATATCATAAATTTGACAATGAAAAATAATTTATGGAAAAAAAAGTCGAAACGGCCCGGGGTTTATATCGAAAGGGGGGGGGGGGGTTCTGTTCTCAAGCACCTGTGGAAATATCAAGTTTAATCGTTCTTTTCTTACTCCATTTACATTTTTAGGTCTTCGATTCATCCTCTTATTTTTTCCTAACTCGAAGGACCTTATTTATCTATTTATTTTATTTTAATTTGATTTATTTTATTTTATTTTATTTATGCTTAATATTGGAATATAACTTTAGAATAACATGGCGTATAATTTGAGTTTAAATTTAATTTAAATTCTTCAGTCTGAGATTCAGTATTTGCATACCACAGTGACTGGTTTATAGGATATTTTATAATATTTTTAAATTAATTCATGGCCAAGATTTAATCTGAAATTTTAAAAAAATCATATTTTTTCCCAAATTTGAAAAGAAATCTCTTGTTCCAAACTTGCTTAGAGACGAACTCCCTGGTTACCGTGCAGGGCAAATCTTGATCCCGATGTAAATTATTTTTTCAACTCGAGTCTTACTCTTAAAGTCTTTACCATGTTTACATTGTGTTATCTTTGTGTAAAGGGGGTAGTCAAACCACATGGAAAGTAAGATAACAGTTTGATATTCTCTTTATTGCCCTCACGACATTTTATGTTTGCGCGCTATTTCGGGTCACATAGAATGGCGGGTAGAGGGGCACTGGTCGTGTTAGAGGGATGTGACCACAGTGGAAAAACAACGCAATGTAAACGACTGTTGGAATGTTTACGACAAAAGAATATACCCGTCCAGCCATTTCGATTTCCAGGTGTGTATTAAAGTTGTTCGTCGCTGCTTAGAGGGCTCTTCCTTATTCTATATTTTTTAGCTCACCTGAGCCAAATGCTTTTAATAGTTCAATCAAGGCGTTGAGTGTTATACTCGGCTCGAGTGAGCTGTACCGGACAGATTAAATATTGTCTCGATTCCGCCTGCCTTTCTGTCGTTCTTTGTTTGTTATCATATAGTTCCTTTTGGTTCCTGGTGGAACATAAGGCCTCAGCAACAGTCCTCCAGCGCAATCTGTTTTGAGCAGCCTTTTTCAGTTGTTCCCAGCTCTGTCCACACTGTCTGATTTCCTCTTCGCATGACCTTCGATAAAGTTGTCCTGGGATGCCCAACCCAACATTTGCCTTGGGGGTTCCACTCGAGAGTGTGGTGTGTAATGTCTCCCGTTGGTTTTCTGAGGGTATGCCCAATTCACCGCCACTTTCTACGGGCTATTTGCTGAGTGATCGGGTCTTGATTTGTTGCTTTCCACAGGCTCTTATTGCTGATCTTTTCTTGCCACCTGATGTTTAGTATGTCACTATGTGGCGCAAACATCTGTTTGTGAAGGTTTGTAGTTTGTTGGAGGTGGTGTTGGTGACTCTCCATGTTTCGGTACCATAGAGGAGCACAGACTTAACATTACTGTTATATACAGAGTTTTTAATGCGTGTGGACAGTGCTGTTGATCTCCACACAGGCTTGAGGGTGATGAAGGCGTGTCTCGCTTTATTAATCCTAGTTAGACATGTTAGAATAATCCAACTGTGTCTCGGGACAGCCCCTCACCACAGTTAGAATGCCTCCCATATACCCGTAATGTAGCAGAAAATTGCAGAATTGCTCCAAAACAATTTTGGAGAAAATTAATGAAGTTGCATTGAAAATAACAGTTAAATTAACCATAACAAACCTTTCTGAGACTGTAAGTACCTTACATCTAAATATTTAATCCGTATAATGGAAGAATTCAACACTTTTTCACCAACGTTTTTTACTCGTTTCAAATTTACACACCATGTTGACATTCGGAACTCTCAGGTTTTTTCATAGTGTATGCACTGAGTTAGAGTTATCTCCAGTATTTTCTTTGCTACATTGGCAATACACGGACCGCATTCTATCATTAAACTGGGTTCGTAGGACATTTATCATTTTAACGATAGAACATTCTATCTATATTAATCCTTGCTTGTATGTCTTCATCTGTTCCATCAGTGGCTGAGACAATGCTGCCTAAGTATGTAAAGGTGTCTATGTCTTTCAGGTTATGCTCCCCAAGCATAATTGGTGTTTGCTGTTTGTTGTGGAGTCGCATTACCTCTGTCTTGTCAATGTTGACACGAAGACCTGTCTTTGCTGCTTTTTTGGCAAGCCTATCTGTCTTGAGTTGCATATGCTCATACTTTTGGGACATAAGGCATAGGTCATCAGCAAAGTCGAGGTCTTCCAAACACTGAGTGAAAGTCCACTGGACTCCCGTCTGTAGACTTTTTAAATTTTTCTTCAGAAATACTCATCCAAAGGACAAGGTATAGCAATGGCTGAATTTGAGCAATGGCTGTATTTGTTATAAAAATCAAAAACATCAAGACACAGTTAAAATGTTGATAGTTTGCAATTGAGAACTTTAAATAACAGTTGTTTTAAAACAAGCAATAATTTTGATTAAAAATAATATTATAGGTTAAGTTCTTGAGAGGGTGACTTGTAGAACATTTTACCAAATTTCCTCATTTTTGATGGAATTTCATCAAATTTGAGACTTTTTACTTCGACTGACATTGAGCACAAGTTTGCCTATAGATCTGAGATTTTAAAGATATATATCTGATACTGTGTATAAATTTGGTACATAGGCAAATCTGTGTTCTGTCTCAGTGTTTTCTGAAACAAAATGTGCAGCTTTAATTTTAAACTAGATGAAAATTTGAATAAAAATGAGAAAATTCAGAATTGAATAAATTGTGTGTCTTTCCTCTGACCTCTGTGAATATTATAACTTAGAAGCAATGGTTTCTTTGCCAGTGGATGTCAATATGTTGAATGGTGGTTTTCATTTTATTATATATGATATAACATGCATGTATGAGCACACATTTAACGAAACTCTTGCTTATGTTTGAAATAATATAATCATAACTGAATATAAAAATGTATTTCAACTGTTCTTCTATTAATTGCAGACAGAACTACTGCTATTGGTCAAATGATTAATGGTTACCTTGGAAACAAACAGGAAATTGAGGACCATGCTGTTCATTTGCTGTTTTCAGCCAATCGATGGGAGCTAGTGTATGTAGCTCTATTTATCTTTAGTGACCAGTAATAAAATTTGATGACTTTTTCGGTCTGTCAAATCATTCCTCCACTCAATATTATGTTCCAACCTGGATTTCAGTAACAGTGACAGATCTTTGATTCTTTAAAAGGGTAAATGGGGGGGGGGGTCTCAGGGGTGCCTTAAGGCCCTTAGTTTTGGGGGGCCCAGGGGGGCAAAACAATTAATAATTACTCATTTTCATAGTTTTACTAAATTGTTGGTCACAAAATGGGAGTCCCAAGCCCCCTCTAAAAGTATAAATCTGCCACTGAGTATCATGTTCAAATTGTTATGCTGTTTAAAGTCACCATCATAATTACGAGTCTATCACAAACTCTGATTGTGACAAAATGTTACTACCTGACTGTATGATAATTGTTATTTTTCAGTCCCAAGATGAAGAAGCTCCTGGAGTCTGGCACCACTCTGATTGTAGACAGATACGCTTTCTCAGGTGTCGCATTTACTGCTGCCAAACAGGTAGAGCCTTAGGATGGGCAACTATGCCCTTTTTCATGTTTAAACAATTTGTATTTGGTGATCCTCAACTTAGGTGTGTTATCATACAGGATCATTATATAAATTATTTATTGACTTACATTGTAATTCTGAGATAGAATACATTTTTTGAACCTTCAAACCAAACTGTTGCCTTTTGCTTACCAGCATAGACTAAGGCTCAACAAAAAAAGGTATCCCAGAACTAAGTCAATAAATGTATATTATTACATATTTTGATATATTTCTCAATAAATTATATAAACATCCTGGGCTCTTACCATGCTTACAGAGCCATATCAGTCCACACGTGCACCGTAATGCCTGGGGACTACTTATGCAGTTGTGACATCACAGTATATTTATCAATCTCTCCATTCTCAATGATGTCACAGACATATATTTGAAGTCACAAGTGCCCATTATTAATGTTGTATGGATGTTTTTACCAGAAATACAGAGAATCTATTCATATGAGTAGGGAAAAATATATTTGGATTTAAATATTTAATAATATACAGTTATAGCTGTTTTTTAGGTCAATACGATGATTTAGACACCTGAGGAGTACAATATTCACCGAGCCTGAAGGGCGAGGTGAATATTGTACTTCGAAGGTGTCTAAATCATCGTATTGACCTCAAAAAACAGCAATGACTGTTTTATTATATGATTATCTATTTTTGGTCCAATGTAGAATAAATAATTCCTTATATTGACCTGGAAATAATTCCTTACATTGACCTGGAAGGTCACGTGCAGGTCAATATAACGTAGTATTTTTCTAACATTGTTGGATCTCAGCCAATCAGAGAGATGGGAATTATTCAATGGGTTGAGGTAAATGACTAAATACTGTACAGTAGTGGGAGTTCACAAGCTCAGTCCACTTTACCACACAAAGACCTTGGATTGGCATATTTCCTGATATTCAGTCAATAACCTATAAATATCATTATGGATTTCTTCTTGTCTTCCTCTGGTTTTTGATATTTCAGGCACGACATGCAGGCAGGATAGAAATTATTAGCATATGATTTCAGTATGAAATGTTAAACATCTATAATTCAAACTTCATGATCTTTTACATTCTTTGACATACACTGTATTTACTACAGTAGTAAAAGACAGTATTAGCGAAAAAGGGAAAAAAAAGAAGATAAAACTGACCTTTTTAGCTCTTCTGAACCAAAGGCTCAAAGAGCTAATGCTATGGCCATTTGTGCGGTGTGCGTAAACTTTTTAGAATATGGGCCATAACTCAAGAACCCCTTGGCCAATTATTGTCAAATTTGTCACAGGGTATCCTTGGCCCAAGAGCTCCCTTTTATACTAAAACTAGGGTTGTGACCCTTAAACAAGGGGAGATAATTAGGAAAATAGAAACAAAAGTACTGGTTGCTAAAAAATCTTCTTCTCAAGAACCACTAGGCAGATTATCACCAAACTTACACAAAAAGATGAGGATATGTTGTAGATTAAAAATTGTTCAAGGCATCACCCTGGGGCAAAGGACGTGGTCTCAAGGTCACTTCAAAGTTGACCAAAAATTATATTTTATTAAAATGTTGATATTTTGCTTACTATGAGGACTAGGATCATCAAATCTTGTCAGTTGATGCATCTAAGGACATCATATCGTAGGTCACAGTGACATACTTTTTAAATTTTGCGACCATTCTTTTTCAAAATGATTTAGAGGCATATTTTGAACAATTTAAGACCTATGATCATCAAACTTTGTCAGTTGATGTATCTTGGGTCCTCTAAGTACATCAGCTAAAAGTAGGCCACCTTGACCTATTTTTTGAACTTTATGGCTAATCTTTTTCAAAACAGTTAAGGTCATTAATTTGAATACCGAGAGGTTTAGAATCATTAAATCTTGTAAGATGATGCATCTTAGGACCATAAAACATATTTATTATAAAGTAGGTTACAGTGACCTACTTTTTGAACTTTGCATGCATTCGATTTCAAAGCGTTTTAGAGGCATAATTTGGACATTTTAAGGCCTATGATCATAAAACTTTGTAAGTTGATGCATCTTGGGTCCTCAAAAAAGGTCAACTGAAAAGTAGGTCACCTTGACCTACTTTTCAATTTATATGACTATAATTAAATATTTCAGGTACTAATTGGCTTAGAATCATCAAACTTTGTCAGTTGATGCATCTTGGGTCCTCGGAGTACAACAGCTAAAAAGTAGGTCACGGTGACCTATTTATGAAAATTTATGGCTTTAATTAAATATTTCGGATACTAATTGGCTTAGAATCATCAAACTTTGTCAGTTGATGCATCTTGGGTCCTGGGAGTAGGTTGACTGAAAACTAGGTCACCATGACCTACTTTTGAAAATTTATGGCTTTAATTAAATATTTTGGGTACTAATTGGCTTAGAATAATCAAACTTTGTCAGTCAATGTATCTTGGGTCCTCGGAGTACAACAACTGAAAAGTAGGTCACCGTGACCTACTTTTGAAAATTTATGACTTTAATTAAATATTTTGGGTACTAATTGGCTTAGAATCATCAAACTTTGTCAGTTGATGCATTTTGGGTCCTTGGAGTACATTAACTGAAAAGTAGGTCACTTTGACCTACTTATAAAATTTTATGTTTATAATTTTAAAAAATATTTTAGGTATTAATTGGCTTCAAGGCTCGACATTAACTTTTTTCCCTACTTGTCCATTCGGACAAATGACCAAGACATTTACTTGTCCGAACATCAACTTCACTTGTCCGAAAATTTTTCAATAAAGATCTAAAACTGTCAACTTGAAAAGTGAAAACTAAAATAAAGTCCATTACACATGACGTGCTTGATTTATTCGTGATGTTATTGATAAATACAACAAACACATAAAACGAAATTTTATCTGACAACAACAAGTGAACCTGTCAACATCAAACAGAATCCAAACTTTGTGAAGTTCGTAAGTTTCATGCCTTTTCAGTAGTATGCAATTAGTGAACTTCGATTCCGATCGAATGTGAACTGAAGTCAGGTTTTTATGTACAGCTTCCGTCTTGAAACTATCAACAGTCGTTCTTTTTATTATTTAGAGACTCCTTTACATTAAAATGCACTTGTCCAATCGGACAAGTGCCCAGCAATATTCAGTTGTCCGTAATTTTTATGACGTCGAGCTCTTGGAGCTCGAACGTCATCTAGCAAGCGCCCAGTATGAAATCGCGACCAGATATGTACGCGACCGAATGTGTCAGTCAATGCATCCGCAATAGAAAATAGCAATAGCTATAAACCAATTTCTTTGAAAACGCTCAAAATGAATAATAGCTTGAAAATAAAATTGCATCAATTATATCTGCAATTAATTCTATTGCAAAACAACAATATTATGTTTTATTCTCACACAAGAAAAACGTGATGGTTGTTGCGGATGAATTTCTACAGAAAGGGTGCGTTAAATGACATGAATAACATTTCGGAACGATAACCGTGTAACATAAACAACACAACAGGAGGTAAAATAATTACAAAATTACATAAACACGAATACTACAAGACTAAAAAGATTGAATTTCTAAATCTTAGCTTTACTTATACAATCTTCTAACCAACTCTATCCTAAAAACCGATGATATTGACCAGTATTACTGTATTTCTCTATTTCCTCCATTTCCCAGTATACCGTATACCACGCCCGATCGTAACTCGATCGTAATTGTAACAGAACAGTCTTGGTTGTAGTTTAGATGCAATCACTAATACAACGCTTTGACATTGGCAATTAGAAAAAATATTATATAAATTCATGAAATCCTTCATAGTTCTTCAACTGACTGAAAAGAATTTAGCATGAACATGTTCGACGGTGTCTGGTCAATTCGAACCCTGCTTCATTCGGACCATGACATAAGGCCCCAAACTGTAATTGTGATATTTTGTTTAAAACTATTTTTTTATTGTTTCTCCTGAGTCACTCACTTGACTTATTGCTATCTTCAAATTCAAAATGATCTTTTGAAATTGTTTTTCTTCTTCGACGTCATTTTTTCACTGGTACCGGACTTGCGGACAAGCGTTAATGTAGAGCCCTGGGCTTAGAATCATCAAACTTAGTTGATGGGTCCTCAGAGAATGACAAGTGATAAGAAGGTCACCATGACCAACTCTCAGGTACTAGTTGGCTTAGAATCATCTTGGGTTCTCGGAGTGTGAATTGGAATTTCAAGGGTTTATCTAAATATACAGGATACTTAGAGGCTTCAAATAGAAGTGATAGGTTGTACAGTTTATCAGAAGAGTGATTCAAGGCCCTTGGGCCTCTTGTTTTTTTATAGGAGAGGTACCAGTGTTCAGTAACAATTAAGTTGTCAACTTTTCTAGGGCTTTTCTATTTATTGGTGTCAATGTAATGGTGAGTTTCGGTTTTCAGGGTTTTACGATTGACTGGTGTAAACAACCGGACCTTGGGTTGCCTCGTCCTGATCTGGTTTTGTATCTTAACCTGAGTCCCGAGGCCGCAGCCAAGCGGGGAACGTTCGGCAGTGAGAGATACGAACAGACAGACTTCCAGGTCAAAGTGGCGAACAACTTCCAACAACTGAAGGAACCCTACTGGCAGGTACATGAATCATCAACTTCTTATTAAATACTGATAGAAAAAATCTTACAAATGAATGCAAAAAAATTATGGCCAAGGAAGCTCTTACAGTCAATGATATGTTGTGGTGGCCGGATCTAAAAAAAAGTGTGATGGAGGAAAATTTATTTCGTTTGCAACAACGATGATTAATTTTATTAATTTTTTTTTTTTTTGGACAGGAAATTGATGCTGACAAAACAGAAGATGATTTATCAGCTGAGCTGACAGACATTGTTTTAAACCTCATATCCTGTATGGGGGAGGCGCCTTTAAAGAAACTGTGGTGTGACTAAGACTCTAAAAGGACCATAAGTCTGGAAAATAAAAGACAGAATAAGATTTACCTCATTTTATAACCCACTATGAGTTCAAATAATTTTTTTTTGTTCCAGTATGCATGATTTGTTGTAGACTTCAGTTATTATGTTCCAAGAAAATCAAGCATTTAATTTAATTAATATTTAATTGTAAAATTGATGGGATTGCAAAGCAGGCTAATACCCTGTAAAAATTCCCCATACTATTTGAATCCAAGATCTCAAAAAGTTGATATTTGTATCACAAATCTATACAATATTAAAAATATATATACAATATTAACTACACAATCATGTCTGTAAGGGACATTAAATTTCATGATCTTTCTATTAGATTTCTGCAAAATTGTCCTCACGATGATGCAAGTTTTAAAAATTGTAAATCACTGCCTAATATCTACAAAGGGATATATATATATATATATATATATATATATATATATATATATATATATATATATATATATATGTATATATATATAAGCATTGAATTATTATTTTTTGAAAGATGTGGTCTGATAATTGCAACGGTGTGTACAAACAAATTGAGTAATGCGCATCAGGGCATTATGAAAATTGGTTTGCACACACTGTTGCAGTTACAAGACTACGTCTTTCATAAAAAATAATTCAGTGCTCATATTTACATTTTTTAAGTCACTGCCTTATCTGCAAATGTTATTTATATTCCAAAATCCCTGTATTATTCTTCGGGTAAGTTAGAATTAATAGAAGAACCATTCCAATAGCAACTACCGTTAACGTTTAATTGTTCTGTGTGAGCATTGATTTTTGCTTGTGACATACATTGCACTTGCATAGCGTTCAGCGTTTGTGACGTAATTCAAAATAAAATTCCCAACTTAACGTTTTGACCTCCCCTTGTCTTTGTTATGGTGTACTGAATGGCGAAGCTTTCCACATATTTTATAAGCAAATTACATGTCGAATATAAAATTTATATAATTCTCCTTATGCACAGACCATAATAATTTGAATCCAAGATCTCAAAAAGTTGATATTTGTATCACAAATCTATACAATATTAAAAATATATATACAATATTAAAAAATTTATATACAATATTAAAAATATATATACAATATTAAAATTTTATGTACAATATTAAGAATAAATTGTTCCATTCTTATAGTATATTTATATGTACATCAGGGATGGCTCAGTGAATTAAAGTGGTTTTACAGTCTGAAGATAACTGGGACTATATAAGCGTTTGGTTTACAAAGCACACATTGCGAGGAATTGCCGCATTGGTCAATATAAATGTTGAGAAATGTGAGAAAACAATTTTTAGTTTGTAGAGAGTATATGTTGAAAAAAAAAGCAATTAAGGTATGTCACTTGTCAGCCTTTTAGAAAATTTCAGTCAGAACCGCTTACTTAAAAACTATTTATTACAATTCAATCTTTATAACAAATTTAATTTAAACAATGTAAAATGTTCAACATTCAATTAAAAAACTGCTCAAAAATTCACAAAGAAGCAAGATTTGTAAGGGACTATTTCTTGTGGCGGAAGGATATTTAGCAGAAAATTCTGCAAATCTACACATTTATTAAATTTAATATCTTGGAACTTTAGCCTCACATACTTTTACTCAGAGAATATTTTCCTTTATGATATGCCTGGAATATTAAATATAGGTCTCAGTTTATATTTTTATAACAAAATTTACACCTTCGCTCAACAAACATTGCCAAGAAATGAAGATATATTAAGGAAGTCGAGATAAAATTTACACAGTTTTTTGCCTGAAAATCGCATATTTTGACCAATATTTCAAAATTTACATCACTGACCCCAATTTTTTCTTTCATTATTTTAAACTACCCGATACTTTTGACCGATCAGCACTTAAGTCGTAAAAGGTTTGATACAAGAAAATATTCTTTTGCCTATTTGGATTTTTAATACCCCAAATATGAGACTTTTTTTAGTGCAAAAAGGTCACACAATAATTTACGTAGGCCTTTCAACTAATTTTTCAAGTTATACATATGGTAATAAACAATTGATAGATATATTTTTAGGTACGTGAAATTCTCAAAAAAAGATTATAACCTATACATACCTTTAATTAAATCATAAAAAAAAATAATTATCAATATTTGATTTGTACGATGTGGTGTTTTAAGGACAGGTAACTCAAGTGCGAAAAACGAGCAACAAGGTGCCGATTTTTGAGTTATCGTTTATAGGAATGACATATAGGCTGCTTCAATTGGTATTGTTATGTACACAAAAGGGTTCCTTATATTCTTTGGTACACAAAAGGGTTGACCAAAACAAGGAGAATGCCTTCACTCTATACCTGGAATAACGGGATCAATGAATTGGAAACGGACTATATTCAAGATTTTTAACTCTCCCCAACTGTTGTTATGAAGAAGAAAATATAATGCCATGTTTTTTTGTTTGTGCATTGTTGTGCTTCATCTATAAAGATAAATATTTCTACAATTAAATGCAACAATAAATTATCTTATTCTTTTCACTAAGCACGAAGAAGAACGATCAAGTATAAAAATTTAATCAGGTCAAAATTAAGAAGGGGGATGGATTTCACTTTATATTTTTATTAAAAATTTCACTTATATTTTATTGTACGGTGTCTATAACTACATGATAATTAAGTTGAACATTTGAGCTAAATTTTAAAACCACTGGATTTCCCCGACAGTGAAGGAATACTTGGGAAATGCTAAAACTTGACATCCTTAAAAACAATTAGCTTCCTCGAACCCGCTCTAAACAAGTTCCGGTAATGGGTTATCGTTCTTTTCATCGAACCGTAGCGGCAGTTGAAAGGCCTAATTTACGCGCATTAATTTGCATGATTTGTTCAATGATAAATATTATTCAAACTATTTTACGTAAAATAAGATTATTTTTATTGCCATGGTTATATCTCATATAATGTGATAACGGTTAAAGTGATTAACCAAAGAGTTACAATTTAAGTGCAAAAAGGTCAACTTAATTGTACCGTAGCTCAGTTAGATGCACACTGACCCCCTTTATCTCTGCGATTTTGAGTCATACTATATGAGTACTTATCCAAAATATACTTGTCAAAAAATCCTTGATATAACAAATTTCACGAGTGACATACCTTAAGACCGATTACATGCATTGATAAGGGGAGGCAAATCTATGAAGGATATGTTTATCATCTAAAAACAGAATGAATTGTACTTGCATTAGAAAGAATACATGTAGATTGATAATTGAAAAAAAAGCTTTAAGATGCAAAATTGTATTGAAAAGCATAAATGAAGTTATAAAATATTTAACACCTGTGGATTAACAATACATTTACAGGTAATGGAAAGGGGGGGGGGTATAAAGGTTTTGAATCGTAACATCATACTTATTTACTAGATAGAACAAGATGTGTTTGCGAAACACTGATGCCCCCGTATGGCAGCTCAAGGCTAAGGTTAAAGTTTTTCAGATGTAGGTCAAACGTCAGGGTCAAGAGTCCAAAAATGATGGTACCAAAACAAAGATCTTGTCAGAAGGAATACACATGTGAAATAAGAAAGTCCTAGCACCAACCGTTCAAAAGTTATGGCCAATGTAAAAATTTCATTCCAAGGTGAAAAGATCAAAAAAGTACCCAAAGGAAGGTTTAGTCACATAGAATACACATCTGAAAAATAAAAGCTCTAGGATCAAACATTCAAAAGTTATGGCCAAGGTTAAAGTTTGGTAAAATTTTGCAAAAGTATGTCAAACTCTAAGGTCAAAGTCAAGAGGTCAAATATGTTGAAACCCAAAGAAAGGTCTTGTCACAAGGAATACACATGTGAAATATGAAAGCCATATCACCAACCATTCAAAAGTTTTGGACATGGTTCAAATTTTTGCGGACAAACAGATTAACGGAAAGACCAAAAAAATATATCTTCGATTACGGAGGCAAAAAAAAAAAAAGAAAGTGAATCAAGGATCTTGAAGAGACCATACTTTAAAACAAGATTATGTACCAAGTCTTTCTGAAATTGTATCAAAACTATGGGAGGAGTAGCATTTTGAAAGAATTTCACAGAGATTCATTTTTTTGTAACCACGGCAACATACTATAGTAGTTTGTCGAAATCAAAAACCGATATGCAGCATTAAAGGTGCTTAGACACAGATTTGAAGTTAATATTTTCTCAGATTTTCTGAATAATATCACGACTTATATATTGCAATGGCATTTCACACGAAAATATAATTAAAAACTTATTATATCTGGAAATCATTGGAACTACGAATTCCTGGACGCGTTTGATTAACACATCATTGCACTTTCACAAATTTTATCTTTATCCTTAATATTTAAGAAAAGAAGCGATTTTGTTGTGTATTAATGAAAAACATTACATCTATAATTCTGAAAATTCAGAGTAGAAATGTGCGAAAGCAAACCTCCTCACTAATATCATCAGCCCGTGCTCAGTGTTGTGTACAGAATTTTACAAATTGAATACACCCGTGAAACGTAAACTGTTTTTGTAAACAGGGCACGAGCTCTGTTATTGTTAATGTTTACGATTCACCGGGTGTGTTCAATTGTTAAAGTCTGCACACACTCTCTGAGCACGGACTGACAATACTGTGATTGGGTTTTGCTTTCGAACATTTCTACTGTGAATTTTCTGGATTATAGTTTTAATATTTTTCATTAATACACAACAAAATTGCCACTTTTCTTAAGTTTTAAGAATAAAATTAAAACTTGTGAAACTGCAAGGATGTGTCAATCAAACGCGTCCAGAAATTTGAAGTTTCAATAACTTCGAGATGAAATAAGATTTTTATTGTATTTTAGTATGAAATGCTATAGCAACATATAAGTCATGGAATTATACAGAAAATTTGAGAAAATATTAACTTCAAATCTGTGTCCAAGCACCTTTAAGTATTTTGATGTTATGTATACTTGTGTACAAATTCTTGTTGAAATTGGACCAAAATTGTAGGAGGAGTAGGACAGTGGGACGGACAACTTCGGAATGGACATTTTTCCGAACTTGCGCACCTATTATTTCCTTTTAAGCTATCATCTTGGGATTTTTTTTAATGTTTTTTTTTTTTTTTTTTTTTTTTTTTTTTTTTTTTGTTATACATTTTCTGGTAGTTTTTGAGATATTAAGTGACAAAGATAAAACTCCATATGGGAAACATGTACTTAAAACTACCCCATGAAAAAAAAAACCCACAAAAACCCTATGGGTTTAAAATTTTACCATGGGGAAATTAAACCCATATAAACTTTCGTGGGGTTTTTAAACCCATATATGACTAAACATTACATGTGGGTTTTTCTCCCACGTTTTTTGTTGCATAGGGTAAAAAAAACCCATATAATCCTCATTATATATCTTTAATTTCATGAAAATTGGAATGACGGAGACATTTTAAAATTATTGTCTTGTCTTGTTTTCAAACTTGTTTCCAAAGATATACTAATTTCAGACAAGGCGACTGAGCTAGGTTTTTAATGGAGTAAAATAAAATAACAGCAGTAAGGAAAGTAAAAAAAGTAATTCATTCAAGTAAATGACGAAAAGCAAAAAATACACATCGATCATTACGGTAAAAGACATCTCCCCCCCCCCCTTTTCCGTGCTTCTGTTTGCTTGAAAATGATACCATAACAAATAGATACAAGTAACACTCTCTAAAATTATTTATGCTAAACTAAGTAAAAAAAATTAGAAATAAAAAAAACGCTCCTAAAAAGGGCAAATCATGACAAGGCTAATGATCTTATACATGTATCTACATATCTACACAATTTTTCTGACGGTAAAAGGCACCCCCTCCTCCCCCCTCCTTTTCCGTGCTTCTGTTTGTTTGAATTTCATTGCCAATGCATCAAATTCTTTTGAAATGATATATTTCTTTTTCTTCTATTTCACTTTTTTAACCGCACATGATTTGCTTGGGAACCCCCCCCCCCCCATTCTCAAAACAAAAGGGGGGGGGGGAGGTGCAAAGGCTTCTAAATAATAAATATTCTAGCTTTAATTTAAAACCAGTAAAACTTAAGATCCTTTCCTCAAAACTGCTGACATTAATTGCCTCACGCACATCTCCCTGGGGAAAAATCACAGATAAACACTATAATTCCGCTTTTATTGAGTTCGCTCTAAAACTAGAATGCATACTTTTTCTTGGCATGGTAAAAGACATCTTCTCTCCCCCCCCCCCTTCCGTGCTTCTGTTTGTTTGAATTTCATTGCCAATGCATCAAATTCTTTTGAAATAATATATTTAGACAGAAAATGACTTAATGTTGATTTACTGGGTCGGGCGAAATGCATGAAACCTGCAGAACATCATAACAAATAGATAAAAGTAACACTCTCTAAAATTATTTATGCACAAATAATTTAAGAATTTAGAAATAAAAAAAAAAAACGCTCCTAAAAAGAGCAAATCATGACAAGGCCAATGATCTTATACGTATATCTACACAATTTTTCTGACCGTGAGGTCAAAAACTTCTATGTAGAACATATAAAATCTTTGGCATCATATTATGCAAACTGACCTCCGCATCCCCTACTGTTGAATTAATATAGGATCTCCCATGATTTGTAGTTGGATATGATTTTTATCCAACGAGTTGTGTGTTTTTTATCCCCGAGCCTTGGGGAGGGGATAAAAACACAAAACGAGTTGGATAAAAGTCATATCCAACTACAAATCATGGGAGATTCTTTTTATCCCATGTTTAATACTTCACAACCAATGTTTTACACTGTTTTATACAGGACTCCACTTTATTTTACTTCATCACTCTAACGCAAAAACCATTGTGACGTCACAACTGTGGAATATGAAAAAATTATCCAATGAGTCATATCCACGGGATAAAGGGGTAAACATAGGATAAAACTAAATATAACATATGTATGCCATTGGTTATACAGTTGTGCTTATTTTAAGTATGTACGTAATGAAGTTGTTAGTATCATCGATTTAGCCCGGTGGTGGTGGGGAAGGGCGGTCGGGGTGAGGAGTTCAAAATTTATTCAATGACGTATAATGAATTATTCTGAAAATGACGTCAGAACATGCGCGGATCTAGAGGGGGTCGGGGGGGGGGTCCGCCCCCCCCACCCCCACTAGAATTTGCAGAGTTATTTAAAGTATATACTGGAGCAAATAAAAAATGACTTTAATTTGGAACCCCCCCCCCCCCCCTAAAAACGTGGATCCCACTACCACCGCGAAATAGGTGTTTTTCACGTTTGGGAAATGGATTATACTTTTTTTTTTTTTTTTTTTTGCTTGTCAAGAATTTTTTGGTTTAATTTTTTGTTTTTGACTGGGATGGACCCGGACCCCCCCCCCCCCGGAAAAAATTCCTGGATCCGCGACTGCGAAACTCTGTTGAATATATATCGTGAAATAAGGAATGGGTTGATAAGATATATATTTGTCATCTAGCAGGTACAAAATTGTTTCATCGATCAGCTGTTATTCATGGCTAATTGGCTGAAAAAATTCTTGATATCCAACCTGCATTGAACAGTCTAGACGAACTCTAAAAACGACGTGAACTCCGAAAACGAAGTCTTTGGCTCCATCATGCATTGCGGCAAAATGGCGTCCGATGTAAACAAACGATGGATTGTCGTTCGCTTTCTCCAAATATACGGGTGTATGATGGCTGTATTTAGTGCATTGTGACTTTATTTTAAATTTTTGTTGAATGGATAATTATATTTATTAAATTATTTTGTGGATATTGACTTATTTATTGCTTCAAACTCTTGCATAGTAGTAAATTGGATATACGACATTGAATTCAATACTGCCGGTAAGAATAATTTTCTTATTTGATTTATTGTCTCCTTGATTTAAATTTTATGTTGTTCCTACAATATAGGTGCTTTTATTTGTTTTTGAAGACACTCAACTTGTATTTATTTTGATTAGAAATGCGTATTTTTCACCACGGAGCAGCGATATTCACAGGTTCATTTTTAGAAGACATGTTGTGACCTTATAATTTCTAGAAGAGTGGTTTTTAAAGATTTCATATTGATAGCCAATAGTTTGAAAAATGTTTTCATAATAATATTTGTTCGTATGTGATAAAAAATAGGTAAATAACGATGGTAAGAACTTACGCGTTCAATTCAGATGTCTAACAAATAAAAATACCGGAATGCTAATTTATGTGTAAAATTCAGTCAAGTTTTTAACAGTTACAATATATATTATCCCATTATCCCATTTTGCATAAATATCCTTTTTATAATGCATATTTACTTCTCAAACGTATCATTTTCTCTGTAATTGACCTGACTTCAAACGTCAACTTTGAAAGTAAATATCTCCTTATTTGCAAATAAAATAAAATAAAAATTCTGACAAATACGATCTCTTCCAAAGTCTTTTGTTTAGCATTTCTGAGTACTGGCATAATTGCCATACTTTCCAAAACTTTGCACAGACAGTTTTTGTAGACCCATCATTTTTGACGAAAAATCGCCATTTTTTGTGCGTGTGCGCATGCGCGGACTCTTTTTTCGGAGTCTTTTTTCAGTCTCAATTTCTTACTTCCGGAAACGCTGTTTTTGGAGTTCGTCTAGACTGTTGAAGCTCAATATTATTGTACCATGCAGAATTAATATACGTTATGATACAGATAAATCTCTCTCTCTCTCTCTCTCTCTGAATTTTAGTTTTTCGGCTTATACTTGAAAATCCACCTCTATTTCAGGTGACCAAACTTACGTCGACTTATTTTACTTCTGATAAGACCCTTTGGGGAGCCCCAGTTCCGGTCGTTGACCAATGGTCAAACTTTAGACACACCGCATTATGGATATCTAAGCACCAAGGCAGCGAGAGAACAAATATATTTGAGTTAATAATGGCAAATCGGCGGTGCTCTGTGATATGGGTACAGGTGCGCTAATTAATTAGTATTTATGTATTCTGCACGTGTGATATAACTTAGCATTGTATTAATATAATTCGCACGCGTATTTAGTAGTGGCGATTGTACAGACGGGTTTATTTACAACGTGCTTCTCTGAACTGTAACACAACTTAGTATGGTAAGTGTTTATAAATAATTCTCTCTCTCTCAGTACACAACCCTTTCGATGTGCCCCCGTCTTTTTCTACTGGTGTGAAGATAACATCATTTATTGAAAACTCGCTTTCTGCAAATGTAAGGAATTGTCGAGCGCCTTTGTAAGTGTGTAATGTTGTAGCTTTCACAATATATTTGTTCAATGATTGAAAAAATGCAATAATATTATAATTAATGTATAATACTTATATAATATTATGTGTAATCCACAGAATAAAACATGTAAAACGAATAACATTTAACACTTAAAAACTATGCCTTTCCACTTTTCTATTTTGGTGGTGGTACTAGTATATTGAACTGGAATAAAACTTTCTCTCTCTCTCTCAATATTCCCCCTCTCGATGTACCTCTATCTCTGTCGGTGTGAAAAAAGCTTTAGGTACCATGGTAACATTTATTCTTGATTGGAAATCCGCATGAAGCTTTCTGTAAATATAGTAAATGTAAGGAAATGTCGAGATACATTATAAATGTGTAATATGGTAGCTTTCATAATATTTGTTAAATGATTAAAAAATTGCAATTATATTATGATTAACTATATATTTATACATATTATATAATTTTATGTAATCCGCATATTAAAAATAATTACGCTTAAAATCTCCACATTTTTCCTCATTTCTAGTACATGTTTATGCGTACACTGATTGTGGCCGATGTCTTGATACCGTATTTGATTAATGACATAACAGAATTTATAGATTCTCCTGTTAACCGATAAAGAAAGCACAATGGCCACTCTGACCCGCTAATTTAAGCTGACACAAGAGGCAAATCGTCAAATAGTGTTGACCTAGGTGTTTCATAATCCATACCACGTATAGGCGGCGTTGTACAATATTTTAACTTGAAAAAAATGTATAATTATCATTATCATCCAAATTATCATGATTATGGTAAATTTCTACACAGATTTCTTTTAAAAGCGACAGAAAAAAATTGAAGGTTGAAGTGACCATTTACACTTATCTAGAGTATGCATTTATATTGAAATTGATTTTCTATTTATATATTAGCCATGTTAGCCGTTCGCATTCAAGATAAGCAATTATATTCACAGCTTGTCAAAAAATAAGAAGGTTGAAGTAAAAGACAAGGAAAGTCAAATGTTACTCTGAATAAAAGTATGTTTTACTGTAGCAATTTTATTGAAAAAAAAATCCATAGAGACCGGACTATCTTTAAAAAAAAGTTTGCTTGCCCTATCCCGACTCTGAAAAAAAAAAATCGAAAATTTCCAACAAAAAATTGCTTAATGTTAAGAATTTATTGAAATTGAAGGCATTAATTTAATTGAAATAGTTGTTGACAGGTTGAAAAAAAAAAAAAAAACTGGAATGAATAAAAAATGCACGGCTTCCTAGAGTTTAAAAAAAGTCTACAGTCGGGCCAAATTTTTTAAAATTAGTCGCCAACAGACAATTTATATATATATATATATATATATATATATATATATATATATATATATATATATATATATATATATATATATATATATATATATATATCAAAGTTTGCCTCGACATGGTCAACACTTTACTCCAGGACGGTCAGCAATAAGCAATAATCTAGACCTTTCAATAGCCATAACACGAGAGATTTTGAATGGCAATTCAATACGGCGCATCTAACGACTTGAAGTATGCATATAATAATTGGCACAATCAATATTATTACAATACAGGTCTGTAAGCTTGATTAATTATGGACGAGGAAGTGAGGATTACATTGGTGAACTCGGACACCGAGATCAACGCGGCAGACGAGTCCCAGGACGACACTGGACAGCAGACGACCAGAGCAATGGCGGGAAGCGAGACTCAAAAAATAGAATCAGACGTCTTCATTCTGATGGGCAAGGACGTAAGAGATGATTTGGTCGATAACGATGAGAGGAGCGACGACGATGAAGATGACGAAAGTGACGATGAACCGCTTCGAGATAAATTTATATTGGAGGAGAGCCAGGACCCCTCCTCTAATTTCCCAAACACAACATCTGGGTAATCACATCTTTCCCCAATATTTCCTTTTGTGTTTAGAAGAAACGCACACGCACTTCTGTTGTACATATTTTCAGACTTATCACTCATAAGGCAAAAAAAAAAGGGCCAATATGCATTGTAGAATCCATGAGATACAAAATCAACTGATACACAAGTTACATCTAAATCAGTATAAGATTATCTATTTTTTTCATTTACTGCCTATGAATTTAATATGTGAACGCATTTTACACCCATCATACATAATATAAGAAATGTTTGCCAAAAAAAAAAAAAAAAAAAAAAAAAAGCAACAATGGATAGTGATGGTATCCCCTAATGAGTTTAATACGATATCGTCCACTCATGATTAAAAATACATCAGTCATGGATACACAGTGATACTACTTTATCAAGTGGATTAAATCTGGCCGTAGGAATCAATAATTTAGATATAATGTACTATAGAAAACATAGTTACTTTATGCCCCCTCAATAATAGCATCTGATGTCAGACCCCTTTCTTTCTTTGCTTGTCAAGGAATTTTTGCTTGGTAGTGTTCCCAAACTAACATTGCTTCCTACGGGCCTGTAAATAGTATCAGTTGGTGAATACAACACATGTTCATGTATATGTTTGTTTGTTTTTATTGTTTAACGTCCCTCGAGAGAATTTTTCACTCAAATGGAGACGCTGCCACTTGCCGATGGAGAGCTACAAATTTTGACCTATACTCGGCACTCCGGGCCATTGAGCAGTGAGGGATCTTTTTTTGTGCCAGCACCTACTGCGACACGGGACCTCGGTTTATACGGTCTCATCCGAAGGACCGGTCTCCAAGTCCCACAGTGGGATTCGAACCCGCGACGTAAGGATCAACTCCTTAATCCATGACTCTAGAGCGAACGCTCTAACCACTGCGCCACGCGGGTGACTGTTCATGTAAATGAATGTAAACGTGTTCATAAACATGACTTCCCTTGAATATTTGAAAAAGGGGGATAAATCAATTTTTAAAAACCTATACATTCATTTGATAGCTTTATGTCTTTCTATAGGAGAGTTCGTTATATGGTGGGTAGAGTTATGGAGCACATCGCCTTCCATCTGTTGACGATTCTGTTGATTCTCCTAGATCTTTCTATTGTGATAACGGATCTAGCGGCGGGGGATTCAGCTCACCATCACGAACAGCTGGAACTCTGTAGTAGGATTATCATCATTTACTTCACTTTGGAAGTCATGCTCAGGATCTTCTATAAAGGGTCACTCAGCTATTCTTAAATTTATTTTAAAAGAAATGGATCTATAATCTCCTACCTCTTAACATCGCATGTTTTGTTTCTCATAGTTTTAATGAAAAATTTTAAGATTCAGGACACTTACTACAAACAAAACAAAAAATTGAATGTATGAATTGGTAAACTAGTATATTTTTGAAATTATTTTGGTTGCAGATGAATCAATTGTAAAATTCCAAAAATATTAAGAAATTGTAATTTCAAAATTTGTCATCCCCGTTATAAATCTGTCCTTTTTCACTTTATAGGACATATCTTAGAAATCTTTAAAAAAAAGATATGGCTAAAATTTTTCATATTATTACTTGTTAAAGCATAGATTTTGTATCTATTTTCATGATTTAAAAAAAATGTCAGTAGTAATTGAGTTTTATCTTATCTTTTTTTTTCTGGATTTTGAGGATTATCCCGTAACTTTTTTTTTTATTTCAGGGATGACTTTTTCCGTCATTGGGCTGATATTTTGGATATGATTGTTGTGTTTGGAACCTTCATCATAGATTTCACTCTTAGTGGCTACGCACGGTTTGTATTTTATTGAATGCATTAGAAGAAATATATAATACCAAAAATTTAGTATCATATACTCAATTCGTATTGAAAAATCCAGTCTATGTCATTATTGCAGAAAAAAAAATTCATTTCGACTGCATTGAGTTCTTCAAACAGATATTATTTCAGTCTCTTTCTTTTCGTTTTTTTTTTTTTTTTTTTTTTTTTTGGAAAATACTGATATATTATCTTTTTTAATTGTAAATTGGTGTGTAGGTTTAAAGTGACAACATGACGCACAAACGGGAAAATTGACAAAAATAGAATTTTGCCATGAACGTTGCAAATTTTGTTCCATTCCTGAAAGTATTAGGTTTCAGAAAATACAGGTTTTGGAACTTAAAAAATCTATTTTTAATGGAGAAAAAAATTGTCTGGCCTAAGACGTAAATATAATTGCTTTACTTCTTCCTTCTTATTGTATGCGTGCGAAGAAAAGATGAAGTTACCATGGTCTCAAGTACCAAAAATTGAATTTTGGTAGACCAAGAATTTTGATACAAGACAAAGAATTTTGATACAATCTTTAAAAAAGATAATTACTGCGTATTTCTCACCTTTGCAAGCTCCAAGTCAATGTTGTTCACAAGTTTATGCTAAAAAAAAGTTCCGTGACCTTGATATGCTTGATAACAACCAAACGGTAGATACAACCTTTGTGTATCCGGTACTTATATTTTGCAGTCTTTCCTTGCTTTACAGTACAGTTGAGTTTGTCGTATCTTCACTATACTCATATTTTTATTAAATCATTCGCATTATGATACAGTTATCTTAAAAGAAACAACATGATTTTGACTCATTATGTAACTTAAATGTTTCATTGTTTTAAAGCAAATATCATGAATTAAAAAAAAAGGTTGATACTTTTTTTAAAAAGATAAATTAATAGTTGTTGGATAAGTTAATATATTTTTGGTCCAGTTGTTAAAAGTGTTGAATTTTAAAAAAGAGGGATAACTCTTGAAAGAATAATTCACTTCAAATAATTGTAAAAAAAAAATATATATATATTTTTTTAAATAATACTTTAATTATTACCTTCTCTTGTATTTGATAATATCAATGAAAACGATGATGATTTAGATTAGGTATCATTGGACGAATGGTGCGGATTATCCGGGGATTAAGAGGTGTTTACATTATGTACTCGGAGTACCGCCTGTTTAAGAGAGCCACAAGGAGGGTCGTGTCCCAAAACAAAAGGAGGTACAGGAAAGAAGGATTTGATCTAGACCTTTGTTATGTTACAGGCAAGTTATCCCAACCCCACCCTCTAAAAACGAAAGTAATGGCCCAAGGCCTGGAAAACAATAAGAAAGGGGCTTTGAACTAGATCTCTGATACATTACAACAAACTAGTACCCGACACCATTTCCCCAGGCATTTGAATTCATATCGTTTTCTTATAATGAACAAAATCCTACCCCGACCCCCGATGATTTATTCTGTTTTGCTTATATAAGGTCAATTTGCTCTGTAAGTTTCCAAATGTGATTTAACAAAAATTATATAATTTTGATCATGTATGTCTTTTTCAGAGCGAGTTATTGCCATGTCCTTCCCATCTTCAGGCATGCGCTCTCTATACAGGAACCCTATCAGAGTAAGGCTCCCCCTTTTTGTCTCAATCAATAAAGAATCATCCTCCTTCAAAGGACTTCTATCAATTTTTCACGTTCTTGAGTTTTTGCCATGTATAAAAATGTATGTATCTGCTTTTACAGAAGGTTGGGAAATTTTTGGATAAAAAGCATTCCAACCACTACAAGGTCTATGACTTGTGCAGTAAGGAACGATTTTTCAGTGTTAAATTTAGATTGAAACGAGTAATGCATGTAAATGATGTGGTAAAATGACTAAAACAAGAAAATTTGATTCCTTTAAAATAGACACTGAATTCGCAATTACATGTTTAACTTAGACAGAATGTTTATACAATGTTTTAAATCTTAGCAAATCTTTAATGATATCTTTAAAGATATAATGAATTTTGTAATTTGCATAATTTTTTAAAGAGTGACAAGATATTGTATTAAAATATTGATGTTCTGTCTTTCTCTTGCCCACCTCTCTAGCTTCTTTATCGGTCATTTATCATACAATATTTCTAGGTGAGCTGACATACAATAGAGATGTTTTCCACAACAGAGTGGAAAAAGTTCGAGTAGATGACCATAATGTTCCCAGACTCAAGTAGGTGGAGAAAAAAAGGCTAATATTTTCTGAAATTATAATAGAGAGACTATCCTACATAGTAAGCATATGAGAGAGAGAGAGAGAGAAAGAGAGAGAGAGACATTATCAAGCATTCTTGATGAATCATTTGCATTTTAAAACATTCTAGGGATATGGTCAACTTCTGTGCAGATGTAAAAGACTGGTTAAAAGCTGATGAGAAGAACGTTATTGCTGTTCATTGTAAAGGTGGAAAAGGGCGAACAGGGACCATGATTTGTACCTGGCTAATCCACACTGAACTGTTTGAACAGGCTCAGGTATACACATAGATAATGGGATCCATGATTTACTTGGCTAACCAACAACAAAGTGTTTGAACAAGCTCAGGTATACACATAGATAACAGGGACCATGATTTGTACCTGACTCATTCACACTGAACTGTTTGATCAAGCGCAAGTACACTGTTTTTTTAACATAGATACAAGAATCCATGATGTGTACATGGCTAATATACACCGAACTGTTTCAGCAAGCTCAAGTATATTTATGTTGTAATATTCCATTATCCCCATTATAGTGTGTTTGTCTCCAACTGATTCGATAAGTAAAAGCATTTCAAAGTATGATTTTTAATTGACAAATTACTGACAAATATGTTGATATTAAGGACTTTAATCAATCTCGTTTAAAGTCAGCAAATTTGAAATACTATAGTATATAAAATAACTTTGTGTGCGAATGGAACATATCGCTCAATTGTTTTTTTGAACGAGAAATTTCCTATCATTTGTTAGGCCAATGTTTTTACACTTATTTTGACTGAAGATTACTCCTTCTTAATGGATACAGAAAATCTTACAGCGAGTGTGACTGCTGGACAGGGAAATGCTCATTCCTTTTTGGCACCTGATTCCATCTTTGATATTTGCCTTGGTCTGTGTTTTTCCCTGTTGGATTTGTATTTTTTGTTTATGATTTATGAAATTGATCTGTATTCATTATTTATACCTTTTTCATTTTGTATACACATAGAAAACATGTTTGTACCTGTACCTGGTTTAATCACACAAGATAGTTTGAACAAACTCAGGTAGAAAAAACAGGGATTATGATTCATACCTAGCTTATTCACAATAAATTTTTGAAGAAGGTCAGATTTTCTCGTAGAAAACAATACAAAAGTGCTGGCAACTGGCTTATCGACTCAGAGCTGTTTGAATAAGCTTAGGTAGACTCATAGAAAAAAAGGAAGCATGCTCCATACCTGGTCTATCTACATGGAACTATTTTTACAAGGTTTTCTCATAGAAAATGGGGAGCAAAAATTGCACCTGGCTAGTCTACATGTACGTGGAAGTGTTTGAAAATACAATCTATCATCAAGTCGAAATGCTGGCTGACGTTTTTCATGCAAATTGTTAGGCCACTATTTAAAAACTGAATTGTCTACAGATTTTTCCGTTTACTCAATCATGACAAGGAGCACGTGGCGTGTGTGACCGGTCAACAGGGGATGATTACTCCTCCATGACACTTGATCCCACCTCTGATTTATTTTAGAGGCCTGTGTTTGCTCTGCTCCAAATTCGTATTGTTTCAATGGACTTTTGAGCTTGATTACTGTTCATTATCTCGATATTTCATTGAACAAGCTCAGATATATACACATTAATAAAGGTACCATATTAATTTGTATCAGGCATGTGCATGCGAAACTGTTTTAACGAGCTTTACAGATTATAGGAACCATGGATTGTTCTTGGCTAAGACAGACTTAACTGTTTCAAAAAGGCTAAGTTACAGGCATATAATTTGTACCTGGTTTATAAAAAGGTGAAACCCTACCAACAATTTCTATAATTAACTAAAGATTACTATAGTTAACTATTGTAAACTATAGTAAATACTTTGATTTACTTGAAACTTTACTCTAGAACTTTTTTTGAAGATTTTGAACCCTAATATTCTTAAATCACATACCATTGATGTAAACTTTTTTAAATAATATGAAAATATACAAGTAATATTCCCTTTTAATACAAGAAAATTGCATGTAGGAATTTAAACCATTAAAATATAACTATCTGAAATTCATAGTAAAATACTTTCACTTACTATAGTAAAAACTTTTTATGATGGTTAACTATGGTAAACTATAGTTTACTATAGTACTTTTTGGTAAGAAAGATCTCGAATAGTGATTGATCCTTTCCAAATTGAGCAAGCGTAAAATAGCTTATATTAGACTGAGAACAAAGAAACAATAAAAACACATCCATTTAAAGCATATTTTGAGCTTGAAAACTGTTCGATATCTCCATATATTTCATGCACTAACTGCAGAAAACATAAATATATTAGCAGAACATAAAGAGGACAAAAAAACCAAGGCTAAAAATAAGCCTAACAAGGTCGAATTTTAGAATAGCAACATGATTGAAAATTAATTAATTTGTACTTTTTCATTACCTTGTACATCAGACATGATTTTTTTAAAAAAAATCTTTACTGAGGAAAAATGAGAGAATCTCTAATGGAATTATTTTTGTTGATAGGATCGCAGTTGAAGTCGACAGGTTTTGACAGTTTTTGTTGTCTTTTATTAAGGAGAGCTTGAACTATTTTGGAGAACGACGGACAGACAGGCGGGAAGGGAGTATGTTCCAGGGGGTAGAGACACCAAGTCAGGTAGGTTATCCATAGAGAAGATTTTATTTGATGTCATCATGTGTAAATTTACTCATGTAAAAGATATTCAGCAACAGCATAGTTATCTAATGCAGCACTTTACAATATTCTTATCTTGAATTGTTAGAAATGTCCTAAGGCATTTTCATAAACGGTAATAAGACCAAATAAAACAGCATATAGATGTTTTGGCTTTTAATGATGTGGTTTTCAGTAACTGAGCAAAATTTTGAGTATAATTTGTACATTGTTTATCATTAAAATACAATCATTATTTCTATATAAAACGATAATTGGATATTAACAGCATTTCATTCGTTTGTAAATTGCAAGGCATTTGGCAATTAAAATATTGATATTTTCCAAGAAATCTGCTTTGGTCTTTATTTTATTTATTAGAAAATCCCTTATTTTGTATGATTTTAATGTTATAACTTAGAATATCTAAAGATCATCTTATTATTTTGGAAAGGTCCATATATACATGTAGTACTTTGAAACATCGTCTTACTATTTTATATAAAATCGTAGGTAATTCTCATCTCGGTACAGTTTTTTTCTTTTATTAAAACACCGCATTAGTATTTTAAAGTAATGATCTTGTCAACCAACTTTTCAGAGCCGTTATGTCGAATATTATGAGAAAGTGAAATGGGATCTTGGTGGAAAATTACCTCCTATTCGAAGAATTCGAATCTCCTCCATACACATAACTTCAATAAAAGGTACAAAACATGGAATTAGCTGGATAATTTTGAATTTTCTCAAAGAATCTGTCCGATGACGGACTGTGGAATCATCAATGTTCTTGGGGGACCAATGTTTTTGGATTTCATTGATTACCCTTATATATTCACGAATCTGTATCCCCACGAACAATTATTTTGTCAACATATTCATTCATTGAATCTTCTTTATATACAAACTACCCACGAAATTATGTCCCCATGAACCAACAAGATTTTGCTTGGTCACGAACATTGACCTTGAATTAGAATGATTCCACAATAATTATGATAAGATTGTGCATGTATATATACAATTTTACAACTCCCTTGTAATTCAAAAGTTCTATAATATCATTAAAAGAAGTATTCAATAATAATGTTTTATGCATAAATAGGTTCTTAGTTCACTTAAACTAAGAGGCTTGATTGATAGCTGTGTCATGTAGAACTTTACGAGACGTAATTTTTTGGATTGAATGTTAGAGATATAGGACAATGTTTTTCAGGCACGCAAATAATCTACGTTTTCAATTAACAGGATATAAAATTCTTAAGAAAAAAATACGTGTTTTAAAAATTAGTTTTATGGAGATCAGTCCATATCTATTGCATACGTTGTCATATTTACTAAAGAATAAAACCATTAGATGCAGACCCCCCCCCCCCAAAAAAAAAAAAAAATTAAAAAAAAAACCAAAAAAAAGCAATGTCCTTTTAAAAACTTTTTAATGACATTACACATAAGGATATGTATATACTTCACTCTGGTTTGTTGCTGTCAGGTATAGGCAAGGGTAACGGGTCTGATCTCAGTCTGCAGATCTGGCTGGGAGACAAAAAGTGTGGGGAATGGAAATTCAGCAACCCAGAACACGTCCAGGTAAGTTAGAGATTGAGGTAAGGGGTTGAGGTAGTAGAAGAAAAAAGAATGAAAGACAATAGGATTAACATAAAGACTGATTTTTTGTTGATGATATCTTAATCAATATATGAATGAGTAGAAGCTTGAGTTTTATAAATACTTGTAAATAAATAGTAGAAATTGTAAATGTGAAGGAATGCATGAGTAGTTGATTGAAAGAATGAATGAAGCCAAATATGCTACATGATTTATAGAATAGGGAAATTGTTAACTGAGGAGGATATAGATTATTTTATTATTACAATTACAGGAGGGCATAGAATATATTATGATTACATTTACAGGAGGATATAGATTATTTTATGATTACATTTACAGGAGGATATAGATTATTTTATGATTACATTTACAGGAGGATATAGATTATTTTATTATTACAATTACAGGAGGGTATAGATTATATTATGATTACATTTACAGGAGGATATAGATTATTTTATGATTACATTTACAGGAGGATATAGATTATTTTTATGATTACATTTACAGGAGGATATAGATTATTTTTATAATAACATTTACAGGAGGATATAGATTATTTTTATGATTACATTTACAAAAAAGATGTCTCATTGGGTAGTTAGTGAATCACTGATGCTATGCTATGAGATAGATAGCTCAAGGGATGATAATGAAGCAATGAGTTGACGAACGATTTTAAAAAGAAAATGGATACTATTACAGGTGTTATGTTTAAAAGAGGGAGGATAACATCCCTCTCCTTACATTGAGATTTTATTATTACATTGCCCTCCTTGTTCCGATACTCAATGTATGTACTCAATATGTACTCAAAAGAGGGGGATTGCATTGACATTACATTATTACATGACCCTCCCTGTTCTGTCACAGCTGTTATACTCAAAAGAGATGGATTACATTGAGATTACATCATACATTGGCTTCCTTGTATTATCACAGCTGTTATACTCAAAAAGGAGGATTACATTGAAATTACATTATTACATCGTCCTCCTTGTTCTGTTACAGATGTTATACTAAAAAGAGGAGGATTGCTTGAGATTACATTATTACATTGTCCTTCGTATTCTGTTACAGATTTTATACTCAAAAGAGATGGATTACATTGAGATTACATCATTACATTGGCTTTCTTGTATCATCACAGCTATTATACTCAAAAAGGAGGATCACATTGATTACATTATTACATCGTCCTCTTTGTTCTACTACAGATGTTATACTAAAAAGAAGAGGATTGCTTACATTATTACATTGTCCTTCTTGTTCTGTTACAGATGTTGTATTAAAAAGAGGGGGATTGCTTGAGATTACATTATTACATTGTCCTTCTTATTCTGTTACAGATGTTATACTCAAAAGAGGAGGATTACATTGAGATTACATTATTACATTGCCCTCCTCTCTCAGAAGACGTCAAGTGCCGTTTTATATCTACATCTGTAAGTCATTTGACAATTCTTCTGTTGTCCTTTTTTTCAATGAAACAAAGTAACATGACAGAAAGTTTTGAAAATTTCTAGTATATAAAATGCATAATTTTTTTTATTTACATACATGTTTACGTGTACACAATGATGTTAATTATTGAATAAACAATGAAAAACCTGATTTTGTTGTCCACAGAGAAACATTCCAAAAGTTTACGATAACTGCGCATTTTATTTCTGGTTCCATACAGCTTTTATTGAGAAAAATAGGTAAGCTGGATTGTAATGAGATTATAAGTAGAATTCAGCGTATATTGTAATATCGTATATTGTAATATTGTAATAAACGTAGTAAGTTGTATTATAATGAGATTATAAGTAGAATTCAGCGTAAATTGTAATATCCTAATAAACGTTGTAAGTTATATAAAAAAAATGAATGTTTTACATTTATTATAAAAGGATCATCATTCAAATTGATATAATTTATATTTTTCGATAAGAGTGATGGATGAAACTTTTAGAAGCATATCAAGTAATCTATATTTTATAGTTTCATAAGATTGCATATTTCCCGTTTTCAAAAGAGGTAGATGTATTTCAAGAATTACTTTCAATTGCTTTGAATAATTGAGTTTTGTATGAAATTATTACAGATTACATTTACCTCGGGATGAAATAGACAATCCACATAAGAAACGAGCCCAGAAAGCATTCAGAGAATCATTCAGCATCACAGTGAACTTCAAAGGGAGATAATGTCTAAAATTAAAAGAGAGATAACAGTCTGAAAACCTAATCTTGATCTCAACTTAGACCAAATATATGTCTTAAGGTTTTCCATCCCTAATAGCACCTAATTCTCTATCCTTAAATATCCCTCACGTATATAATACTCTCATATTATTAATTCAAAGCTATTTACGGTATAAAAGGATTTACCAAGAGAAAGTTTCAAAAATGTAATTAACTAAGCAGTAATTAATTAACAGAAATTGCATTGAAGTCTATGGAGACAATCGATTTTTTGAAAATAAAAAAATTCAGATAATAAGAATATCAATAAATACTGTGGTGGAAAGATGCATTAAATCATTAGAAATAGAATGATAGTTGAAAACAATTTTTTTACTTTATAGATTTTTTATAATTAATTTTTATTACTTAAAAAAGAGGGAGATGACTCTTCAACAAAGGTCAAGGTCCTAAATTAGGACACATTCCATTCTTACATGCTAATAGTAATAAATGGGCATTATGTCTAATATGTCTAAATATACTGAGTATTCCACCCGTAAACATCTGTTATGTATTCAAATTCATTAAATCTGAGGCTATTAGGGATGGAATACCTCAATAATGTTTAAAAAGATTCTCTGTGATTTCTACTACATTATGTGTTTTTCGAATGGCAGCTATATATGAATTTTTTTTAAATGATATGCTCATACAGAACATAATTGTATATTTTAAAAGTACAAGATGAACCTTCATTTTACAAACAAATATAGGTGCATAAAACAGTTGAATAAGAATTTTGTTGTATGATATAAGAGAGAGAGAGAGAGAGAGAGAGAGAGAGCTATTGTTGAAGATCTGAAAACTTTTTTTTAAAATGATTAGAAATGGTAGAATTAAAAACATTTCTATTTGAATTTAAGTTTTAGAACCAGCTAATTTAAGTACTTGCCTTCCGTAATTACCATCATCATTTCGGATCCCCTAGTACAACTGGAAGCTCATCATGATATTCTTTGCCACCATGATCTCCGACTGTCTTGACATTCGGTACTTTACGTTTCTCGTATTGTATCCAAACCAGGAACGTATTTTATACTGTTATCTGTTTTTCCTCTTGGACCAACTTATTGTCTTCTTTATAAATATTTTATCTAAAGATTTTTAAAAACCTGTGAGAGGACAAGTCCACTTAGGCAATAGAGATTGGACCCTTTTTCAGCTTTGTGTTACTTCAGAATACTGTATATTTCCAAATCATTCTCTTTTGGTAATACATGTAGAATTTGAAAGGTCTACAAATATTAAAGAATGGAATTAATGTATTGAATCTTGAGAGTCAGGTTTCCCTCAATCCTCCAAAGGAACAAATCAATGAAAACGATATGTCATGAGTAAATATTGTATCTCATGGAGACGATCTATTCATGTTCAAGAAAATTTTCAGTTGGGTCATTTGTCTGCAAACAGGTATTGGATTTAGAAAGTCGGCTTTATGATAATATATATAGTGTTAACGTTATAATTGGATGTACTGTGCCGAAATAGTGTTTAGAGTTTGAGTTCGCCTCAAATAAATATCGAAAAGACAAGGTCTTGAGGTACACCATTATATTGATACGGCACAATTTGTCCTTATCTTCGAAATCTACATTTCTCTGTAAACACACATTATATGTAACAGTTAGGGACACGAAGATAAAAGCTAATGAAAATGACAGCAAAGGGACTCCTCTTAATTCTGTGTATTCTTTTACCATTTAACCATATCCAAGGTAACGTTGACCAAAACTGGATGGAAGGAATTGAAAACCGCTTGCTCGATTTAGAAGAAGCCAACAAGGCACTAAAGAATGAAAACTCCAATCTCAAAGGAGAAATTAAGGAAATTAAAGGACTGTTGAAAAAAATTCAACGGGAAAATACCGCTTTAAAATTGAATTTCAAAGACCTAAAAAAAACAATTGAAACTGATGTACTGAATGATGAAAATCAGCTAAGTTCTCCTGAAGAAGCTCAAAGCAAGAAAAACGGAAGAATAAATGAAACCAATCGGAATGGGACAATGAAAAATGAAAATGACATAAATGATACACTCTTAGTCGAAACAAGCAAAAATGTTGTGCCCAGAATCAGTAAGTATGCTAGTAATTTTAATTTCATACATGCATGATGTAATTTTAAGTAAAAAAATATATTGGCTTTAAAATTGAAGAGAATTAAAACAAAGATAAATAAACAGTAGAGTACATCAAATACATCTGTCTTAATTCTGTGATACACTTAAATGCACATTTTACATTTTTATATCAAATTCTTTATCAAATTGAAATTTTAAAACTTTATTTCAGTTTATCCAACATCAGTTTCAGCTACACAGCCTGTGGCATTCTATGCCTACATGAATTCCTTTTCCCAACCTAATATCCCCGCCCACGTGACCCTAACATTCGACACAGTGATAATAAATGAAGGAAATGGATATAATAAACACGATGGAGTTTTTATTGTGCCCACGAATGGAATCTATGCATTTCATTGGTCATTGAAAGTAGATGCCCATTCATGGGCAAGTGTCGAAATAATTGTAAATGGGAATGCAATTGGATGCGCATCTTCTGACACACTACGAATCGGTGATTGGGGAACTGGGAGTGAGTTGGTTGTCACTCATGCAAATGTAGGAGACCATGTATTCGTGCGCACGCATGAACCTGTAACAGGATCTATTATCAGTAATAACCGCGCGCGTTCTTCATTTTCTGGATGGCTTATGCATTCATAATTTACTGATTATATCAAGAAATAAAAGTTCTTTATTGCTATATAAGTATCTTATTTCTGAAGAGTAAATCTTCTGGACACAGCGATCGATTATATATTGAAACTATGTAAAGGTTAACCTGAGAGACTACTTTAAGATAAAGCTACTGTATACAAGGTTATTTTCGCCCTTTCATACTTAAAAGCAATTTTCCCCGTTTTTAATTCGCCCAGTCACAGTACTGTTTAAGAATTTAAACTGTGTTTATTAAATTCGTCCCGCTTTAAATTCGCCCGCCTGTAAGTAAGACGAAAGAGGAGAAAATAAAATGGGGGCGAAATTATCCCTGTATACATTATTTTTGCTATAGAAATTGATTTTAAACAATATTTGACCAGAACGCTCTAATGAAAAAAATACATCTAATTTACTGAGCGGAGGTAAATATTTTGATATCTGATTTTATATGTTGTGAGATGGTAACTCAAAAGCATATTGTTATGGTTAAAATTACAGTAACATGTGCAAAAATTGAATTTGACATGAGTTTTCAGAAATTCTCTAATTAAAAAATGTAATGAAAACGAAAATTATAATGAGAAATATTAATACATGTACTTTGTATAAAATAGCTTTTAAGATCACTTATTGCCCGTTATTTTTTTTTTTTTTGTTCGTAAACTTTAAAACACTAAATTTTTAAACTTCTCTAAAATCCTAGGAACAATTTGAAACAAATTTGTCACAAACTAAGCTTGGGTAGAGCGGATTCAGATTTATTAAACGAAGAAACACGCTATCTTTCCTTGAAATTAAATAGGAAATATTGAAAAATTGGTGGCATATTTAAAAATCTCATTGACAAGAACTAGTAGACAATACATATGGGAAACTCCCCCGTTTTTATCTGAAAGCGGTGTCGGAATAAATGTCAATTCCTTTTATGTAAGAGAAATAACCTTCATTAAAACCGATCGGTCACTTTGCTGATATTCAAGAGATATTGTCCGAAATACAGGTCCGTGTGAAAAAAAAATACAAGAATATTCGCTTGTATCTTACATTAATTTATACATTGTTAGAAAAGTTTGATAATCATCCTCTGAGTGAAACAAGGGTGGTTTGCTCTTAAAGTCAACAGACACATGACATAAAGTAGCTCAAAATAGTTTATATATTGTATGCACAACCAATCTAAATTTTGCATCACCAAAATATCAAACATGAAATATATGAAGATAAGGAACAGTATTCAAGCTCAAAAGTCCATTAAACAATACAAAATAGGAGCAGAGAAAACACGGACCTCCAAAACATCAGAGGGGGGATCAGGTGCCATGGAAGAGTAAGCATCCCCTGCCGACCGGTCACACCCGCCGCCGTGTGCTCCTTGTCATGATCGGGAAAAATCCGTCGACAATTCAGTGTGTAAATTAAACCTATTTAGAATTAACTGTCAATGAAACCAAGATAACAGCAGGGTCTTTCTACTTTTATATTCCCTTATTATTATTGTATGCACAACCAATCTTAATTTTGCATCTCCAAAACATCAAACATTCCCTTTATATAACAAACATCCATTCATTTAATGATTTTTGTTCTCTCCAAACTTCGTACAAACAATAGCTTCGTTAAAGTTAAGGTTTAGCAAATGGCATTTGTGTACTGCATTTATATATTTTCAGCTGAATTATCTAATTCATAACATCATGATATAGTTAATAACTATTATTAAAATGAAATTCAGAATATGTTTAAAGAACGTCCAGTGTCACACTTATGCGTTTGGGACAATGCAGATTAACAAAATTAAGAATGTGATATTTTCGACCTTAATTCAGATTTTGCTCTACCAAAAAGTCGCTGAGTACAGTGACTACCAGAATTTCGGAGCATAATAAAGATCTGATTTCATATAGATTGTCCCTTTCAGCACTTGTCTTCAAAATACATTGCACTTCACTTGTTGCCAGAAAGGATACTTCTCCTTGAATGACGGTACGTACACCTCAAACTTGTGGAGCTGCATGCCTATAGATGTTTGATATCATCTTCATACTTACTCAGGAATTTAGTGGCAGCTACAGAGTTGCCCTTAAAAGAGATAACCCAAGTCTAAAGGTTGTAGCTTTTGGAATGGCTCTTCCATCACATTAGCGGATAAGGCAGTGCGTTAACGCGCGTTACTCAATTTGTAACAGTTATGAAACCTACATCTTTCAAAACCAAAAATCCAATGCTTAAATGGCAACGAAAAAGATCTTATAAAGCATTAAACGGCTTGTTCAATGTTATTTTTTTCTAATCATCCTTTTTCCAGTATCTGTCTATCTGTTTTGAAGTTCTTAAATATAGAATATAAACATTTTCCTCTAACTAGAACCATAAAGCAAATGTCGACAAAACTTGCAACAAATTAAGCATTATTAAATTAAATAATCTATGTACAGATATACATGTAGGACCATAGCATTTTCAAAGAAAGTGGCTCCCATCAGCCACGTACCTCAAATCACTTGACTCAACACTAATTTAGTGTTTCGGCGGTGTGATACGAGCTCGAGGTTTATGATTTTTAATTTCTTACAGTTTATTACTTAGCTGCAAATTCGCCCTCATCAGGAGCCTATTTGCACATCTGTTGTACAGATTATTTAATTAGTGAGGAGGTAATCATATCATCCAAACTTTTATTGCGTTTATATGACACAATAGGCAATTCAGAGAAAATCGCATTGCAGTCTTTATTTTTACTAAGAATATGCCAGTATTTTATTAATTTCCGTTTTATTTTCCGGAGTCCAGGATTGTATTTGGTTACGAAAACAAGGGGGATCTCTCGTTTTTTGGTATTATTTTTCACCGTGAGAGCGGTGTCCCTATTATAATTGTCAAGGACGTTTTGTATATTTTGATTGCTTTCATTTTCACTATAGCCACTCTTTTTGAGATTCACTTTAAATTCGCCTAAAATTTCGTTAAGTGCAGTAGTGTCACTTGTATTTCTTAAATGACGAATGGTTTCGCCTTTAATGAATCCTTTAAAAACAGAAGGATTATGAGCACTACTAGGATCCAAATATTGGAACGTATTGGTGGGTTTAATATACACAATGAACTTTTTAAAATCCAGGATTAGATAGATTTCTGTCAAATCATGTCTAGGAAATTCATACTTTGACAAATTTCATATGTGAATGTCAATAATGGGTGATGAATATTGTCTATAGAGAAAAGATCATGAATCTCATTTTCATTTTCATGAAAAATGATAAATCCATCGTCGCGATAGCGACCGTGATATGTTATTCTTGTTTTCCCCGGAAATTTGTTTAGGATTTCGTTGGTGATCTGATGCAAGATGTGAAAAAAGGACATCAATCAGCCAAACTCGTCCATTAAATTTATTAAGACCCGACACTCTTAACCAAACTTTTGACATTATTTCCTTTTTGATACATAATTGTATATATAGTAATATAGTAAAGAGTGTTTCGGCGATTTTTTAAGGGTACTTGCCCTTGCAAAGGAAAATAATTTAATATTGTAGTTACATGTATTTACTATGTGACATTCTATTTAAGAAGGCTTTCTATCTTTAAGAAAGGAATGAATATCTTCAATATGTTCGTTAGCTTTGCGCACATAATCTATGAGATAAGATGCCAAAAACTAAAAATATCTTCAAGTTTGATTAATTGGCACTGGCTTGCAATTAAGTGCATGTTTTATTGGTTTATAAAATGTAGAAGGAATATGTGAAATGCAAAGAGGCATACATGTAAGACAAAGGGTCAAGATATAATGTAGGTTTTTATATCAGCATGATTTGTTATGATCTTATCTCTGAACCTTTCTATGTTCTGTACTGCAACATAATATGTACTAGTGGGGCATGGATAGCAAACCTATTTTTGTATTCATATGAAGCAGGATTTGTTCAAAATATGATACGTGAAAAGAAGAAAACACTTACTGTGGCCTTCAACTCGACATTTAGATATATCGACGACGTATTGTCAATGAACAATGGTTATTTCCATTCTTATGTAGACACGATATATCTCGGTGAGCTTGAAATAAAAGGTACCACAAAGTCTGACAAATCTGTTTCATATTTGGATATTTTACTAGAAAAAGACATTAATGGTAATCTAACAACAACGCTTTATGATAAACGTGATAACTTTAACTTTTCAATCGTCAACTTCCCTTACTTATGCAGTAATATATCCTTATCACATGGATACGGGGTTTATATCTCTCAGCTGATTCGATACGCAAGAGCATGCTATACGTATGAACAATTTCTAAAACGAAGTAAGTTATTGACAAACAAGTCGATGAAACAAGAATATCAGCAGCCTCATTTAAAGTCATCATTTCTTAAATTCTTTGGTCACTATAATGACCTTGTTAGCAAATACAATCGATCATTAAGTCAAATAGTATTTCATACTAATCGTCAGGCCATTATTTACACACTGAATTGTCGACGGACTTTTCCGTTATTTCCCGATCATGGCAATGAGCACACGGCTGGTGTGATCAGTTGGAAGGGGATGCTCACTCCTCCATGGCACCTGATCCCACTCTGATGTTTTAGAGGTCCGTACTTGCTCTGCTTCTGATTTGTATTGTTTAATGGTAAGACAGGTCTTTTGAGCTTGCTTGAATACTGTTCGTTATCTCCATATATTTCTTTGTAAGATTTATATACAGTCCTTACCTCGGTATGTAGATAAAAGAGATGTAAAAAAAAAAAATAAATAAAAAAAAAAAAGAAAAAAAAAGATATCATACATCTCAGCATTATTAAAAAACTGAAAATATCTTCAATGTTTTTTTTTTTTTAAAAAACCTCAAGAATAAGATTAAGTTTTTATGAATTAAAACTCGAATTTTAAAGGGGAGAATAACGACAATGAAGAGGTGTTGAAAACAATCATTGAAAGAATATTTCATTGACACAGAATTTGAATGATCTGAAAATAAAGACTGCAGCTAAGATATATGTA